AAGCAGGTTCTGACCCACCTTTACTCTTCTTCAGTTCCGCATGAAGCATTAATTTAGAGATTCTGATTCAAACAAGTAAGCAAAACTCACACATTTGTTTGTTCAAGTAATGGATACGCTTCCAACGAATAACAAGATAAATGATGGGTTGTGGGTGGCCAAAGAAAGACTGAACTCAGACCTCTCCAAGGCAAGAAATCTTCGCACGTAGGGCCGGTTTGAAACCAGAAATCCTAAAGCGAAAGTCTACTGTTTGAGCCACAAGCACAAGCTTTGCAAGATGTTTTGTTCTAAGGGGTGGAGCTGGGAAGAGCGGTTTCCTTTCCTAAACTGTAGCTCAAAGACACAACGCGAACCCTTTAGGGGCGCAAAAACCACAAACACACTTTGGATATAGCGGGATAATTGGTGTTGTCTCTTTGAAGTTCGCTCTCCCCCACCGCCCTCTGAAGTTGGCTTCCGGACTTCTGCCTGAATTTGGATTCCCCTTCCCCCCTTCCCCGGTCGTTTGTGCCAGGTGACCCACCGGTCCAGCACCACCTCCGAGGGTGGTTTGAAGGCCCTGCAGCTGGCCCAGCGGCCCTTCCTCAGCGACCTACCACGAAACCTACGACGCCAGCTGACCTGGGAGCTGGGGGAACCCATCCGCGGAGATGCTCAGAGAATGGGGGGGGGGAGGCACATGCCGATTGAGACGCGAGGCGTGAACATGTGTGGAGATGATGTTGTGGAATTGGGGGAAGCCATAAAAACGTGTTTTGGTTTGTAGGCCGGATCCTTCAAAGCCATTTGGGGAGACCCTGTCAGGTCGCGAAAGCTTTGTAGAATGAAGAAGGTAGCTTTCTGAAGCGGCAGGTGTGCGAGTTTTCACTTGCTGCTCATGTTCTTTTCTTTGCTTGACAGGTTACCCTGTCAAGCCAACAGCAGCCAACACACTTGTACAAGACAATCAATTACAATATGATGTGCGAAACCTGGACTACCCCATGTTTCGAGGTGTGGGGATTTCATGGCTGGTTCCGTCCAGCCAACCGTCAAGGACCGCCAGCAGTTGATGTGGCAAGTCCTGGATGACACTGGAAGGACCTTTTTGGAGCTCCTCGGAGCAAGCAAGGACCACGTGGACCACGTGGACCACTCGACCCGGGGTCTGCTACGGAGTCAACCGCCGACCGAGTCTGGCGCTCACAGAGTCTGGTCGACCCCGAAGCGGACCACATCGATACCCCGAAACCGCGTCATGGCGCGCCATGGCTTTGAGGCCATCGCTATTCGGTTGGAGGCCACTGCTATGAAATGAGGTTGGTGGCCATTGCTAGACTTGAGTCTAAGACTCAGAGCAAATTCACGATCGAGTTCTATCGCTTGATGTCCTGGTCGCACTAAGTCACTATGATGTTCCGTAAGATGTTTGCTTATACTACCGAATGGATTTATCCTCAACTCACCAACAGACACAACATGTTTTGTGCTGTGACTTGTAAGAATTACAATTATTGTTGATGGTGAACATCCTCATCCTCATCCTCATCCTCATCATCCTCACCCTCCTCATCATCATACAGTGGCACTCTTATACTGACCGGACAAAAATATCGTGGATCCTTTTCAAACCAAAAGTCGTCACCTTTCGAACGTCCAAGGATGAATTTGGATGAGTTCGAAGGCGGCCTTACGATCTGGGACACCAGGCGAGGGGAAAGCGATTTGCGCCAGCTTCGTGCGCCAGCTTCGTCGGATCCAACGATAAGGGTTTATGGGTGAGGGCACCAGTCAGTTCCCTAGCAAACCACCTTTTGTTGTTTGTGGTGGTGGTTGTTGTTGTGGTTGTTGGTTGTCGGTTGCTGTTGCTGTGGTTATGGTTGCTGCTGTTCTTGTTGTTGTTGTTGTTGCTGCGGTTCTGGTTGTTGTTTGTATCTCAGGTGGTTCAACACTTCCACCAGGAGTTCTGGCCTAGGGCCTAAAGTTGGCATGGGAGTCCATGACACAATCGGTGGCTTGCACTAGCTGATGAGTCTACTGTCTACTTGACAATGTTCGAGTCGCTTGGAATCGGCATGTAGTGTTAGGGTTTTGAAGTTATGAGTCATGTCAAACTTAATAGTGGAGACACTTCCTTCGTTACGTGGGTTTGTGGGGTCCACTACAGAAATGCAGGGCGATTGAATCACTTTGGTTGGGTTTGAAACCTGGTCAAAGCCAGGACGGACTCCAGGACGGATCACATGTCTCGAGACTCACCGTGTGTTTGACCACGTGACCTGACAGGCTGCTGGCCACTGTGACGACGGAACTCTTGCATGCCACAGAGTGGAAGTCTCCACAGATCTTGGGCGCCAATGGCGAGCTCTTTGCAGAGATCGCAGTCGATGGCATCTTTGGCGACTCAGCTGCATTCACCAACTCAATGGTTCCGGTGGAAAGTAGTGGATGAGCATAGAGGAGCCAGTTCATTGTGCTCAGCATATCCAAACTGGTTCCTCGTTTTTGGCTGTCCAGATTAAAAAAGTAAAAATCGAAAGACCGGCCTGGTGAGGCGGATTAGGGGGGGTTGGCCTGGCCCTTCTCCCGCTCTTTCTTTCTTGTTTGGACTTCAATGGATTTCGTGAGGCGCCAGCTTGCTCCTTCCGGATCAAATCTCTTCTTGGGGCCAACGCTTCGTGGTGAAGGATGCCCGGACAGGCGCGACGATCTTCAATGTCACTGGAACTTGGAAGGATCAGTGTGCCTGGGCGCGGACGGGGCTGTGTTCCCCGGTGTTCATTGCGAACAGGTACCCACTATACTGGCAGTACTAGTCATTGGCATGAGGTATATAGACGGCCGGGATGTCTTTATTTAAGGAGGTTCCATTTCGCATGATGTTAATGACCAGTCCTGTGTAGTACGCAGCATGAGGGCAGCTTCAGATGACTCCATGGGCCAGTAGATGTACCCGGCTTGGTGTACCCGGCCGTGCAAAATATCCGCATCCGTTTAGCCATTGGCAGCAGTGACTGCCGTGACTCAAGTGGACTTTCAATTGGTTGAGAGGTCTCCCTATTCATTCAAGTATTACACCCAAATGGTTTTCCACCCGCGGAAGTCATGGGATGTCCTGAGAACCTTGGGCTTCCACAACCGGTGGTGCCACCATCTCACGGCGCTTCAGCGCAAGGCTTTCACATGGTTTCACCGGATCGCTCGGTTTCACCGGTCATCGAAGAGCAGAGGAAAGTCCTTCGGTGCAGGGCCGAGGAGATGTCTTGATGCATCCGTTGTTTGGTTTCCTCATGCCTCAAACAGCCAGGCTGCTGGTTCGTCCGTACGGCTGTTTCCAGTGTAATGTTAACAAACAACATACCCCCCCAAATACCCTAGTATTATAAGTATCATAAGTCACCTCCTAGCAGGTGCGACTTGGTCTGATGATCGTCACAGATCATCATCTCCCAGGTATGAAGATCACAGATGCTGTGGGGCACAGCGCATGCCAGCTGGAGAAGCTCCCATCTCCCCAGTCGAAGCTCGTGACGCTGGAGGCGTCGTCGACCGGTCCGTGTTCGTGAAGAAACTGGTTTGCGAACCGAGATCGAAGACGTGTCGTGCTCGTCACCTGTCTCCGGCACGGCACGTCTCCCAAGTCACGGCACCTCACGCGCCTCGTCACCGGACGAGTCGCCGGCAGTTCTTGGGGGATTTTGGGGCGAAAGTGTGGCTCCCAGAGGTCTCGTGTTTGACGCGAAAGTGCGGAAGAAATGGATCGGAGAGTTTCAAATCTGAGAGCAACAAAAAGAGATTGACCAGGAGTCGCAAAGGAGTGCCTAGTGGAGGATCCACTTACCTATAGGGACTCAAAACATCTAAAAACTACCCCATTGTGACTCCTGTTTGATTCATTTGATAGTAGAGTTGTCCATTCAACGGGCCAGTATTTTTTGGCGCGGGCATTGTTGGTCCATGAACTCAATAGCACCCTAGCGATGGTGCTCTTCATGATCTTCAGGAAAGAGACCCAGGTGCCCTGACCATCTGGTTGAATGTCGACGGATTAGAATTCATCAAGAGAATACCCTGCAGGCAGGCTTTGGGGGGATTGAACACCTGAGGAACCACCTCATAGAATTCACCTCACTATTCATTCGACTGGGAACCACCATAGATCAGGCATCACTGGGGCTTGACATCTATCGGCGCATGTTTTGAGAACTCGATCCTCCGACCCCCCCAAACCAGTTCTCGCCTGCCTGGTTCCAGGAGGGCTCAGATCCAGTGCTCATGCTTTGCATCCTCTTTGCAGTAGAGAAGATGCGCTTGGTCCTGGCCGATGTACGAGCAAGTAGCAGCCAAATCGGACGCAGAGAGTGAGAAAAAGTAGGCGGTTTCGCCAGTTGCTGTGGAGGATTTGGGCATATTTGAGCTTTACTGGCCAGGTAGACCAGCAAGCACCACCCAGTTCGGGTGGTTTATAGACCATCCTACCCTGTACTTTACCATTGACCATTCAATAAACACCCAAACTGGGTGGTGCTGGGTGGCTCTCCGCGCCCAACGCCCGAAGCCCCGGGCCACCAAACGTGCCCAGCTGGGCCGCCCAGCTGCTTCTGAACTTGCTCAGGCCTGTGTTCCAAAAGTCATGAAGTCATGCATGTTAGCAGCAATAGGATGCTGTAGGTACTCGCATTTGTAAGATCACCACAGATCTATATTTGTGACCACATGTCACATTGTGTCAAAAAGCGGACAACTCTATGCCGTCGTGGACATTCTCCAACAGGGATCGTTCGTTTGTTGCTTTAGTGATTGAAAGGCCCCGGAAGATAAGTTGACCATGGCTGCTTGGCCGTTTGAAGGTCTGTGGCAAGATCTTCACCGTGCAAAAGCCCTCCCTTCCAGAAACATTGAAGCTCAATGAAGCTCACAGGTTTGTGGAGCAACATGCTCTTCCAGCTGTCACAGTTGACTGAACCTATCTAAAGGAGTCAATTGTAACCTTTGACTTTGACCATAGATCTGAGCAGGCTGGCGCGCCAAAGTGAGCTCACAGCCAAGAAGGACTTGGATGGCAAAACAGCTGCTTCCAGCGCGGGCAAGTCTTCCCCACTCGAAAGTCATGAGGCACCTGTGTAGTAAGTGAATACCCTCCGACTGCGTTCCTGGATAGAGTGGAAGAAACACCACACATCTTAGACACGTACATGGAACCTAATTGTAGACTCTTGATTAACAACCCTCCATGCGGATTGAAAAAACCTGTTCAATCCTTTTCATATGAGTTTACTAATCAAGAGTAATATGTCTACATTACTGTAATTGTTCCTTCCCATGATACTCAGTTGAAGTGCAGCGATGTTTTTGGCAACATCATGAACGGGTGTCGTGTGCCGACTACACCGACTGCACCGACGACAGGACTCTGAGCTTCTGAGACAAAGCATTTCAGAGCTTCGTGCCCAATGCCCGAGACCTAGGTGCATAGCATGACGAAATCACTACTCTAAAATCGTCCTTTAGGTTCAAAGGCCCCTTTCTTGAGATACCTGATCCCTCATCCCAAACATGCACTCATCCCTACAGACCTCCATGCAGAACGATGGATACCTCGTTACCTCCACGTGGCCGTGACCGGTCCGATGCGTCGGACCCAGGTGAAGGTCTTCCCTCGGAGCCAGCAGAGGAGGCCGGGAACGGACGGACCTCGGTGGTGTGTTTGGCGAGTCGGAGGTTGAAGTGATCCAACGTATTATGCATGCAGTATATAGGTCATAGTATATACACAAAGGCTGGTATTGGATTTACCATGATATACCATACCTGAGGTATCTCGAGCAGGAAGAACATTTGTTCGCGGAGCTCATGAAGTGAAGATGTGTTCTGGGTTAAAGATGTTCAACATACGGAGGGCCTTTCGGCGTCCACGTTATCAAAAAAAGAGGTGCATTTTTGTATGTCAGCTAGACATTGGTGTCTTTGGGTAAGATGTCATTCTGATTCTCTACGTATAATAACAATAACATGTATAATGTCTGACATTAAAAACTTAGATATACATATTAATATATAGTGTGTATAAGTGAACAACCCTTTCTCACGAACCCACCAGCTTGAAGCATCGAGATCGGATTTCCAGGTGGTCCTTCGCGGCTTGGGGCTTCCAAGGCGAGGTCCCCCGATTCGGCTCTCGTGGGAGGAGAGGTGGGGGCCCAGCCATGTCGCTCGCGTTCGGTTGTGGTCCTGGATACTCAACTGGGGGCCATCAGGGAACTGGGGCCATCAGGGTGTAGATTTTGATGTTGAAACGCAGAGCCGAATCACGGAACTGTGTGATGACAGCAGCTGTGCTTGCACCTGCTTGCACCTGCGTGGGCATGCCTTGCAGTCGGTCCGATGCAGCGTATCCAGGGATGATATGGCGACCGTGATGTAGACCTGGTCCTTCCAACTGTGCGGAATTGTTACCTGTTCATCCACAAAACCAACCAAAACCGGAACAGGTGTCCCAATTTCAGGTGCGGTCGGTGTGATGATGTTTGATGCGCCTTGGGTGTTGACTCACGCCCAAACCCCCAACTTTTTCCTCCGAGGCAAGAGCAATCCTTGCAGGAAATCATGGAAAGGCTGAAGATGGAGTTGGAGCCCCAGCTGAAAGCAGAAACCAGTGCCGAAACACATTGACACTGCTGGAATGTGGAGGCACTAGGTTCCTGCTATGACCTGGCAAGCTGCAAAGTTGGGTTTCCTGAACAGAACAGGATGGTATGGGGACCCTCACTATTGTACAGTGAATTTCGTGTCATACAATCCCCTAGCCCATATATAATCCTCGATAGGTTGACCGGGCCGTGTTTGGGTGTCATACCCTTTTGCAATTCTTTGTTCCCTGTGCCCTCAATATTTCCAGTGTTGGACCGGAACTCCTCCACTCCGTCCGAATCTGACCCATCTGTCAGCCGACCGCCCACCCGGTGGCGGTCAGCATCAGCCAACCAAAACGCGGTCGGCGCAAGGAAAGACTTCGTGCTGGCAGAACTGATGGAGGATGAGAAGCAACTTGAGGCGCGACAGCCTGGTGTGCAAGAAGTAGCCTTGTCACGCGAGGCCCCCACTGCCCTCCTAGAAAAAAAACTGATCGCATGTTGCATCATGTTGCCTGCTTGGATGACCCTGAGAGCAGGTGAACAGACAATATTATCCAAAGGGGTGAGCAAGTGACGGCTATTCGAGCTGGTTATGATGGCTCAGCTCGGAAAGAACGGCAAGTCCGCACAGATCGGCATAGATTTGCATCGTGTTTTTGTCGAAATGGCTCGTTGAAGCATGTTGCTGCATTCTCTTCTGTTGTTCGTTGGACACTTCAGGTAACCAAGAGGAGCACGGGTTTCAGGTACCACTGCAACCACCTCCAGTTACATGGCTGTGGGCACTTGGAGCCCCGAACTGGCTGTGGGTTGGTTAGACGAACTGTCAGGTCGTCTACCTTTGTGCACCGAGTCCGGACACGCTCCAATCACATCCACGACCCAGATGGTCTGTTCATGCCCAAATAACCCAAGTGAATTGGCAGAACAGAGAAGACAAACACCAGGGTGTCCCAGGTTTTGACTCATCCCCCATATGGAACACATGTGGTTCTTCCAATTCGGTCCCGTAGGAGGTGGTTTCCCGAAGCTAGGCCCGTCCCTAGGCCCGGCGCCGGGCGGAAGAGTGGGGTGGCCCAGTGGCGTCCGGCGACGTGGCGGACCCAAAAACCGGGACGACGTGGAAAAGCAACGTTGGAGTTGGTTTGAGGTTTTTCCATGTATTTCCCCATAGTCTTGGATGATGGTTATGGAGTCTCAGAGGATGGAAATGGCTTTCCGTTTCAGGCATTTTTGGAGTCGGAGGGGGTTCATGTTGTAGAACGTATTTTTCGGTGGAGTGGCCGGACATATGCCGAGTCCTGTGGCACCGGTAGAGACCCCTCAGTCGATGAAGTTGGTGGTCTGAAACTCCATCCTGGAAGGTCTATCCTAAGGCGGCAAGGTCTCAGCTACCTGCAGGATGTGGCCAGTTGAGAGGTCTCACAGCTTTTTCCAGTTGAGATATTCTTCCAGTTTCAGGTTGACCATCGATGGCGAGAGCCAAATTTGATCAAAGTTGTGTTTCATGCAAAAGGACTTTTTTGTGGGTACATTTGGAAGACTGTTTTCCTCTACACCACATCACACGGATCGATCCCGCTCTGTTGACCCCCCACACGGATAGGTACAGGGTAGGAAACAGACAATGACACTATGAGAATGGCATATCTATATACATCATCACACCGAACAGGTTTTCTCCCCAAGCGGGAAAAAAGGATAAACGAGAGAAGAAGCAAGATCCACTGGGGATCAAGCCGAAATGAGTAACTGCGATCCTACCCATGCCCACTATGGCAAGCTTACAAAGAGAAAGTCTGTACACCTCAGCGTCATGCAGCGACTGGGTCGTATGCAGCGAGGGAAAGAGACGAGAAGGCAGGATCATCAACTCACTCGCCACTGCGCTTTTCGCTATGACGAAATATGACATATCAAAACGACGAGTCGTTGGCTCAGGCCGATGTCGATATATAATTGCCCTTTGGCCACATGGGACTTCAAAAGTCACCAAAAGAGTCTTCAAACAATTTGCCAGCAAGCACGACTTTCAGAGCGCAATTTTCGGTAAAAGCCCGAGTGGGAACCTCTGTAGGCCTGTTGAGAGTCGAGTGAGTCGATTTCCAAATCGAAAAAAAGAAGGAACTCCAAGAGAAGATACTATCACAGCGACTATACCATCTTGGCTCCAAGAACTCCCAAACATAGAAGAATGTCTCGTCTTCCCACTCTGCTAAATCAGGCGTTTCCTCGAAGAAACGTGCCTCACTCATCTCTTGACAGACTTCTGGAAAGTTGGCGGATGTCATCACTAAAGGAGCCGAACACGTTCCAAGGCTGATCTCTGCTATGATCATCTCATGGCTGGGGCATATCGACGTGGATAATGTCATGGCTCAGCTCGCACACACCAAAGCGGAGTGACAGGCATGCCGGCTTGAAGGCCTGACCCACAATGCCTATACTGCTTTCCTCAACAAACTGGTTTTCAGGTTCCATGTTAATCTTCCAGGGCGTGTGTTTGGAGACATGACAAGACTGGGAGGACTACAAGGAATATCGACGGACACCTCAACTTAACAACTCGACGGTCGATGCTTGGAACCTCAGAAAACATGGCCTCACATCCTCCCAAAATTGTGTCAAAGCACATTCACATGGAAAGAACCACAAGACAGTCCATTCTTGTCCATCTCCGTCCTATACTGATTTCAAACCTCCCCGAACCACTCGCCACTCAAGTTTTGGAGGCTGTCCCTGCAGCTGAAGACGCTGGAAGAGGCTCAGCCTCGTTTGAGGGAACGTGCAGCCAAGGCCGCAGCCTTAAGAAAACATGTTGTTCCGCATGAACACGAGTTGCACGTCATTTGAACTGCTGTTTCGTTCCCTTCTTACTGGTGGTGGAAGACCTTTTGAAGGAGGCTCGCTTATATTGCCCTATCTTGTTAAAGGGGCCCGACTTCCAATAAGTAGGCTTGAATATTTTGGAACCCCAAAAGGCCCAGTTCTTCAGGTGCTTTTGGGCACCTGTTGGTTGTCACCTGCAAATACAGACCTTGGAGAGTCCAGGTGAACTCATCGGTTGTTTTTACACCAAAGGAACGCAGACAGAACTCGTGCCCCAAAACAATACCTGCGGCCGCCGCTGAGAGTTTTTGTGTCAACCCAAAGAGAGGTTCATACAACCTGAGAGGTGTTCCTCCAATTGTCCTGTGAACTGATGTTTCTAGTGCTGAACTAAGTTGATTCCATGGATTGTCGGATGCTTCCACCGAGAAAAACGGCTGATGAGGTTGAGCAAGAGAAGAGCCTGGAAGGCGCAAATTTCGCTGGTGGGTAAAGCTGCTTGAGGCAGACGCAGGAATTGGGTTGGCGGAGGGCTGTTCATTTTCACCACACAAGAGGCCTGGTGGCCCACACTTGCCCAACTGGAGCAAGATCAATCAATGTAGCCAGTTTAGGCATGCCAGACGCGTCGTGCAGTGCACACATTTGAATGCAATTCTTGTTTCTGTCCGATGTCGTTATGGCATTGCCAAAAGGTGTTGAGGACATTTAAGGACCAGATGCTGCACACTCCTTCCATTTTAGGTGATGCCATCAGTGGGCTTGAGGATCTCCGTGCAGAGGACGGATGGGGTGAGGGGATGGCAGATGGGTCAGTCCTTGAACTGATAGCTATCTAGCAGCACCCGATTCTATTGACGATAGATTTCCTCTGGAAATGTTGAGTTACTCAAAAAGCCGGGCATGAAGTGATCTGGTTTTGAGAGGATTCTTTGGGACAGAGCGCACCATTTTCATTCTGGGTCCATTGGGTCCCCATCATGCTTCCAAGGAGTAGAGAGCACAACACCGACCGGGTGATGAAGCGATCAGAGTATAATATACTGTATACGCCCCTCCCCCTAGTCTTTCCACAAGGTATACGCCCGTCACTCATGCAGGTGTCTTCCAACTGTGCCCCTCTTTGTTTCTTGTGAGGATCATATTAGGGCCTTCTTTTTTCAACACATCTATCACCCTCCCAAAGCTGCCAAGTCTGTGAGAAGTGAAGCATTTGTCCTCTCCATCCAGACCCTCTAGAGTCTTTGCATCTTTCTGCCTCCCCAAATCGAGGCGAGTCCACCGTATCCTTTCGGGCAAGGAACCCGGCCATCGCATCCATCCGTCCTCGCAGGCCATCGCGTTGCAAACGGAGAACCAACTTCTCAAGCGCCAGCAGGCGGGGATCCGCTCGGTCTAGCGGAACCGCGCCACGTGGTTTTTTGTTTCTTTGCCGTGCAGGTGGAGTGGCGACGCTCCCAGACGCTGATGCACCTCAGCCGCGCATATTTGGGATGCCACTGTGTGTTCTTGGCGTGTTTGTGTGCGAAAAGTCTGTAGGATGCACTGCAAGGTGGACTCAAGAATAGATGTGGTACCTTCACGCAATCCAATACTTCTATAGGCTTTGGTTCTGTTGTTTCTGCTCGGATGCCTGTTTCGAGGATTTTTTCGCTTCGACGTTTGCCACAGGTTGCGCTTGGCAGAAGACATGCAGAAGCGGCCTCCCAAGGCGAAAGCTGCCAACTGCGGTCGAATGAGAACCAGAAGTTAACAAGAATAGATCACGTGCCTGGACCCCCAGTCGAATTGGTTAATTAAAACACCCCCCCATGACCAACCCCATCGCCGGGCAGACATGCACACCCCGGGTCCCCTCGCCGTGGTGCTGGTGGAAGCCTTTCCGTCGTTCCCTTCTCGACTTCACACCAGTCCTGCCCAGTCTTGAGAGTCCTACCGACCAGTCAGCAGGGGTCTTCCGTCGGTCGCGCGGTTCGCTCGTGCGGTTCTTTTTCTGTGGTTGCTCAGATGGGTTCTCATGACGCTACGCGGTTACTGATGGTTACTGTATGCGGTTCCTGTATCGTTCGGAAAGATGTTTGGAACTATCGTTAGCAGTTCAATCGAAGCGGATCTTGACGTTTTCCAGTTCCTTCAAGAATTAAAATTGGTCGCACTCGTCGCATTGGCATTTACTTTCCAAGACTTCACTCATCAGCACCATGTTTGACATGCACACACCATGTCCAGGCAACTCCAGACGATGAAGGACCGTGATATGGATTGCGCTTGTTTAGATGGATCGTCCATCTGGGACTCAACATGGATTGTCGAAGAAGAAGACATGGACCAAGAATACAATATAAGAAACAGCAATGTTCGATGTTCTCAATGCCAGGACTCGATGCTGAAGAGAAACTTGAAGAAGCCGTGGACTTAGTCGTGTCTACTGGCTGAAGCAGCTTGTTCCGTCCTTCAGCACACCTGGCTGCGGGCTCAGATACTGCGCACAAATCCAAGGTACTTCAAGGCAACCAGGAGATGCGGCGGCGTATTCAGAAGTTGCAGAATGAGAAGGAGCGAAGTACTCGTAGTTTCTGGTTCAGTGGAGGTAGACCCCCAACCAATGGGTTTTGGTCCATGTTTTTTCTTCCAAGGGGTCTTTGGGAGGTCTCCCTATGTTTAAACATTTTAATACACACCCAAATATAATATAGGCCATGGAGCAGTTGTAGACGGTTGTCCTCGATACACAGTGCGAGACACGTGCAACAGGTTTCACCCAAAGAAGAAAGGCTATGAAAGGCTCATGTATTTGCGTGGGAGGCATCTCAAGACGTGGGACTAGGCTCTCCCAACGGATTATTCAGTGCAGATTCGCTCCCTTAAAGAGTATTCCCAACTAGGCCGCAGCTCCCGGCGTATCAAGTCTGCAAGGAGGACTTGCTTCAGCGCCGACGTGGGCCCGGGATCTCAAGCTGAGATGCTTAAGAGATGCTTTTGGGAAAGCTGAGCAACGGATTTGTTGGGTTTGTCTCAGGGGGCGGAGCGGCGGAAGACCTCTCTACGAAACAGGGAAGATTGGGACATGTTTGGAATCAAATCCATCTCTCGGAGTCTCGGAGTTTGGTGAACTACTCGGCGTCTCATTGCCTCTCATCCGCCCGCGGCTCAGCGCAGGTTGGACGCCTTCATCCGTTCCCGTGTGTCCCGGGCCTAGCTGGGCGAGCGCGCGCCGGGCCTGTGGCGCATCAACAGGGCACCCACCCTAAAACGACGCCGCTTCAAGGTCAATGTGCTGGAACAAAGCCAACAGAAAGCCACAAAGTATACAAACGAAGCCCATATTAGATCTTATATGGTAATTCCACCACTGTTTGGGTTCCTTTTGCTGCCCAACTTCTTTCGCTGGTTCATCGATGGTTTCCGGCTAAGAGAATATGGCTGCGAAATCTAATAAGGAGACCTCCAACCAATGAGTAGACTGGTCTACTTCCCTTCTTTCAGAGGGGTCATTGGGGTCTCCCGTCGCATACTGCCCATGGAAAAATCCAAGAATGGTCACATCGCACTGTCTTGCCCCTGGGAATAAACCCAGTTCTCCTGTGGTAGCCGCCAAAAGATTTGCACCTGATTCAAGTACGCCCGTTTTCTCCCGTTCTATTTCATGTAGACTGTATAGACGGTTGATTCACAAGACTCCCCAAATTTTGCAGATGACACTGTAACACCATTCTGAGGTTTTTGATGAACCAACAGTCATCATGGTGAGTCTACCCCAAGCATGGTGACCTCACAAACCTGGCGTCCAAAAAGGATTCGGGAGTTGGGACCCGAAAACAATCCATGTCACCGGCGGAACAAAGGAACTGAATTCACACACAACAGATTGATTATCCCGTTCGGGCTCCAAGTACAGTACCTCCTCAGGTTCGGTATGACTGGACCCTCTAAACCCACCCCAGTCCCGCCTTCTCAGAAGGTATCTGGAGCCCTAGGGTATATTTCCTTGATCTATGTCCGGTAGCGATGTCAAATCATCAGGTACACCCCTTGGCAGCGCAGGATCAATGATATCATAATGGATCCTTGCGCCCATCTCGTTTCGCTCGGCTCGCTGCTTTCGCTCGCTTCACTGGATCTCCTGGATGGATCGTGGTATGTACTTTGAAGACGTGAACCGGACGTACTACCCGACGTTTGCTTGGAACAGCCATCACATCAGGTTGGGTGACTGTTTCACCTCTTTGCGGAACCGATATCAATCCGATGAAACTCATCATCGCATCCCGCAAACAGACAGACAGACAATGTGTTGGGAGCCCTCGTTTCGAGGGGCCTGTTGGCCCCGGGCGCACTCGTTTTTCTTCTTCCCCGAGGACTGTGGTGAAACATCCAGAGCAGAGCTCCGCGTGGTTACTTCGCCGCGTGACTTAGGCCGAGAGTGGAGATGGGGCCGAACGCGCTGGCGAAGCGCACGAGCTCATATCCACCGTCGCCCTGACTCCAAAAAAGACGGTCCGGACACGCCGGATCCGCCGGATCGCGCTCCGCGCCGTGTCGGACGAGCACAGAAGGACCAGCCGGACGAACGGACTTCGGACGAACGGAGCATCAAATCGAACTCGCAAAGCGGCCGAGATAGCTAGACTGAATTCGGGGTCGTGGTGTTTCGGGGGGGGTCGTTTCAGGTGTGACGTGTAGCCAAACAGGTGGCAAACGGGGCAAACCTTCGATGCAACAAAACATTTTGATCATTTTGGCATCCAAGATCCTCTTGCAGAGTAGAGTTTATGAGTTTTTGATAGTTTGCGTGTTGTTTCTTTCCTTGAGTGTGCAGCTTTGTAATTTGATGTAGCTTGTGGCTCAAATAGAGGGCCCCTTACTATAGGAACTCGTCCTTGCTCATGGAGGACAGTGGAAACATGCGTTGCATAATATTGCGAGTTGTGGACGTCCAAACGTATCACATCATCCGGTGGATGGAGATAAGAAATCCTAGGACCGTCTTATCACAGAGCAAGGTCATTCTAAGTTCTAAGTGCTTGGATTGAATTTCCACAGCTTTGGTTACAGTTCTTTTTGCAGAATTGGGTTTAAGGCAAGTTCCCGTTGAATTTAACACCAAACAACACACCGTTTTGGTGTTTTGTTAGCCTTACATTATTTGCGTTTTGAATCTTTTAGGTTTCCACATGACCAGGTGTTTCATTGAAGTGCACGCATTGATCATAAGACATCGTCCCAAGTTTGAAAATAGCAGCAACGTGTCCTGAAAGGACAGCTTGTACGACGAGTTCGGAAATTATCAAGGCTCAAAGTTTGTACATCGCCAATGATTGCTGATAGAGAGAGATGTGCAAATGGTGTGCGGTGACACTTTTTGTGTTGAAGATCGATCGACGCAATCCAAGGCATCAACTCAAATCAACGTATAATCTCATGTTATTTGAGATCTTTAAGAAGCTTATAGCATCGATCGACGCAATCTCATGTTATTTGAGATCTTTAAGAAGCTATAGCATGTAGTAACACGGCCTTTCTTTTAAACACCATCCATGTTGCTCACATATATATGCGCAATTTCGAGGGGAGCCAAAACCCTTTGACGGCCCCTTTGACACTCATGGCAGGCCCTGACGTCGATGACGAGGACGACGAAGATGACGAGGATCTCTTAGAGGGTGATGAGGAGCATGCCAAGGGCGATGATGAAGCGACCGGCCGCTTGTGGCCAACGGCGTGCTTCTTTTTGGGAGTAGTTGGGAGTTTGGGCGAGTTCGGGCCAGGGGGCGCGGGGGCAACCTTTGGCCCCCTTGATGTGAAAAGGGCCAAGGGCTTGGCTGAAGATGTTCATTGCTGGCACTCTGGCCAGTTCGACACGCTGCTGCGGCACCCCTTTCCAGTGCAGGGGTTTTGCTGCTGGCACCAGGCCGAAGGGTCCATTCGGAGAGTGGCTGAGTTCTATGATAAGACGCTCCGACGCTCCGTGGGACTGGCAGATTGGCCTACACATGCCGCCCCCACTGACACCCCAAAAAACATAGCGTTTGGGATATGAAAACGGTAGATACTCGATACCAATGAGACTCGATAGCAGATGTGGAGTTTAACATGATTGGAGGGGCTTTGACGTCGACAAACGTTGACAAACGTTGACAAACGTTGACAAAAACACAGATGGAGCCTGTCTTTTTCAGAAGGGCTTCGCTGATCGTGGTGGGTCCGCAGATGGTATAATTAATTTGTTGATCTGTCTACAGCGACTCAGGCGATGTTCCGATGGAAGGTGCAGAAGCAACTGGTGATAGGCCAGCAGTGGACCACTTCCTTTTTTGTGGGAGTCGATGGATGGGACACCCAGACTCGATGTGTGGGAGACCGGGGTGTGCAGGAGGTCCAACCCAGTCTTCGGGTGCGAACTGCAAACGAATCAACGGCAGAAGCTGATCCTTCGCGTGTTCTCAAGAGTGCCTGTTTTGAGTTTGCCATCATCGGCCCAAGACAAGCTCTCCGAGATGCCAGGTCAATCATCCTCCATGAGGATAAAAAGCCTCTTGGAATGTATTTGTCAGTTCGCCATAGTTTGCCAAATGATGCCAAATAAAATTGGAACTTTGAATTGAGAAGGCACTAGTTACTAGTTACAGAAAAAGCACCAGAATCAGATTGACTCCAGAAAAAGCACCTGGCCCCGAAGTTCTGAAAACACGTCCACCATCCCAGGCCACCCTCTTGCGCCTCTTGCCAGTTTCCAAAACGACCTTATCGCCGAGGTACTACCCCGATGCCGAAGAGGTCTATGGAGACGCTGAGGCCTTGGTTCAGATGGAGGACACGCAGCCCCTCACCGAGCCCATCATCACGCCGGTCCAGTCGAAGAACTTTGCGACCTGGGCAGAGAGCGGTCAGAGCGGTCGCTGAGTTCAGGGCAGAAGCGGGCACGGTTAGGAGGGAGGGAATGAAGAGATGGGTGTCATATTAGGAGAGATGGGTGTCGTTTCTTTTTTTCTGGTGTTTGTGATTGGTGGTTTTTTCTTGGAGATGTGAAGTTTAAGCCTTTAACTTGGGATGATTGAAGCCGCTGACATATGTTTTTCAAGATTGAAGCCATCAAACAGTTTTTTTCTATGTGATTTGGAATGAGTAAACACCCGAGCAAAGGGCCTCCTTAAGGTTATGTCACAGGGCAGATATTTACATGTTACATCATGTTACATCATGTCACGTTGCACTTGTTTTTGTGCGGAAAGCCATGGAGTTCTCACGGACTACTCTGGCCAAGCAGAGGAAAACAGGTTCTGGAAGTATGTGCGAATCAGTAAGTTGTTAAAGGGGTTTGGCCCATGGGGCTCGTGACTTCCTCTAGCAAGACAGAGTGAGCATGTACTATTAAACGAACCCTTTTTTGCCAATGTCGGTGCGGGGGCAGCCCCAAGAGACTGTACAGTTCACACATGCTCAATCCGCGGTAGCACTATGTACTTGTAGAAATAGAACATGTTCACCTCGGCACGGGATCGTGGACTCACGCTGATCTTTGAGGACCTGCTCGAAAAGAAGATGCCGGACACCACCTTCGACTTTAACTTTCTGGCTGCGATGATGGATAAGCCAAACTTGGTACGTGCCCCGGCGAGGACGTCTGTTTGGACGTCTGTTTGCTACCGCCAACGAAGCTCGCTCAGCGCGCGCTCGTCCGAGCTTCGGCTCGCCGGATCGCGCGATCGCCGGAAGACAAAAAGCACGATAAAAAACAAGCAAAGGCATCAACCATCCGAGGTAATATTTGCTTCTTGGGTGCCTTGCACCACGGCAAGACCACCTTTATGGACCTCCTGGTCTTGAACACGCACGAGAAGGACTGGAAGACTGGCAAGGAGATCCGAGCCTCGGAGTGGTCGGGCGGATGGAATGGGAAGCGGGGGAGAACAGGGAGAGGGACAAGACATGCGCGGCAAGTGGGGACTCCAGGACTTAGTATGAATTAGTAAAAAAGCTGTCATGTACCAGGGGTCACAAAGGGGTGGTGTTTAGTCCATATATTGGCTAATGGGCACCCCTAACCTCCATGGATCGCACCTTTGAAACTCCTGGTGTGTTATTTTGGAGTCCGGACTCCACTGCGGCGATCGGATTGGCAGGAGGGTGGTGAGCGCAGGACCTGGACCAAATGCCGGACACCGGACACCGTGCGCGATCTCTCCTTGTTTGGCACAGAACACGGCCGTCGTCTCATTTGCGGAACAGACACGGAAGACCCTTTGGATCTCCATCCTGTACGCAGAAAGACTCCCGGGTCCGACCCTTTGGATCCTTTGCTCGCCCACGAAGGAGCGCCGAAGCAAGAAACTCTTGCCCTTGGCTCATCTTGGCTCACTTCGGCCCGGGGGGATTGCCTCTTCCAAGAAACTGGTGAAAGGACTCGTTTTTTTGCCGCACATTTTGGTAGGCCATTTGGTCAGAAAGCTCCGCCTAGCTTGTACCCGTCCCGTGCAATCCCATCCCTTGGCACTGTCCGCCATGTGGTTTTGGTCCCTCCCGAGGCTACACGGACTCCAGGCAAGATGAGCAGGACCGTGGCATCACTGTCAAGGCCTCTTCGATGAGTCTGGTGCTACAGGATTCCAAGGACCTCGGTCCGTGCGACGCGTATCGCGTTGCTTTGTGCGACGCGGTCCACGGTTTGGGACGTTCGGGACAACGGGTGGCGGGCATGCGGGTGGCTGAAAGGCATCGATGGCGGCGATCTTCGGGGCGATCTTGTGTCATTTTGAAACCCTAGCCCTATAGGGATCCAAGTACCTTCTCAGAAGGTGATTGGAGACACTGTTGTGTAGGTTTGGCGGGTTCAGTCATACCTTCTGAGAAGGTACGACTGGATCCATAGGGTAGGTGGCTGAGCAAAGGTTGAGTCCCTAGAAGCCGACCTTTGTGGCTGTGTGGCTGCAACTAGAGACGAGATGCTGAGAGCCTGCCTCACTCATCAGGACAAGTCCTACCTCTTCCATGCCATGGAATCTTAGATGCACAGATGGGCTGTCCTCCTCGATGGAGCAGGTGGTGCTAGCATACCTTTATTGTTTTGTTCTCCGTATCTGTGTGTTGGTGCAGGTGTTCAGGTCATGAACGGCTCATAGTTACCTCCACAAATGATTCTTCGGGTAAGGAGTATTGTTTCATGATCCAACGGGTGTTCCTTTCATTAGCAATTCAATTTCTTGCAGATTGCAGAATCGTGTTTTAATGATCTTCCAGAGGAGGGGGGCATATCTACCAGGGATTGCCTTCCCATGCGTTCCCCCCATCGACCCTCCTATTAGCGAGAAAAAAAGATCGGCCAAGATCGGATCCCTGATCGGCAAGTAAGACGAAGCCACGAGAAGAACGAAGCTGAGGTCCAAAGTTCCTGATCTAAATTGTAAATAGGATTCAATCCGATTTAATCCTTAAGCATCTCGATGTGACGTCGGTCGCGCCGCTCAATCATTGGGTTTCATTTCGGTGCCGACGGTCGGCGCCGACTTTTCGGCGGACCAGGTGTTTTCGATGTTCTGCAAAGCAGAAGGTTTGCAAAGCAGAAATAAATATTATATAACATATTATCTTATCTGAAGATAATAATAGTACTGTAATCATCCAGAAGAGGTTCCTCTTTTCAGCAAGAGATTTTATCGAATGAACTAAGGACACGCCAGGCCATGCCAATTTCCAGGACCACGTGCTGGCGGATGCTGACACATGTGTGCATGCGAAATGGTAGACGCACTGAGGGGCTGGAGTGGTTTCTTTCACAGTCAGTGCCTGCCGTAGTCACAATTGTCAACGACAGACGCTTTGTCTCACTGAAAAATTGACATGTGTTTCTTAGTTTCTTCTACCGGGACCATCCAAGGGGGGGCCCCAATAGACTACTTCTGGATCTCCAGACACGACACCCCTTGGATGGTCCAAGTATACATGTCTGAAAGGTCCAAGCCTTTATTTTCCGCCTCTCGTGTTTCCTCGTTCGCCTCTTCTCATTTCAAGCCTCCAGTCGTCTTGCACTCCGACGCCCACGGAAACCGGCTTTCTGCCGGTTGACCGGCCTTGCCACGTCCGGCACGTCCGACCCATCAAGGGTTTGGACGCAACGAATGCACTCGTTCCTCGTTTGATCCGAGTGCTAAGCCGTTGCTTTGAGGAGCGCAGCTGGTGGCAATTAACTTTAATGCGGTTCTACCCGCAGAAACGAGTAAGATTTGGCTAGAATCTGAGAGCCAGAAATTGTGGCTTCGCTATGCTTGGCTTCCTCGTGTACTTCAGGTGTTTTATAATGCTGTAATCAAAACTATAAGGAAAGCAGCAGATATGTCTCTTTGGTCTTTCGTCCTCAGTCCCCAGTGAGTGTTTGCTCCTAAACCTCACAAGCGCCAGCCAGCTGACACAGATTCATCCATTGTGCAGGTGTATTTGGTGTTTTGAGACACGAGACTATTTATACTCCGGGCATGACTTGCATTTGCTTTTTTCCCGCCCAAAGCTGCCAATCCCGCTGGCAGGATGAAGTAATTGCTGCTTTGGCCTTGTCAGACGGCGTGATCCTCCTGGTAGATGTGGTGGTTGGTCTTACTCAGCACCTGGACCTGGACGATTCAAGTCTTTCATGAGTTCGTGCCATGTGGCCTGTCACCTAGGACCTAGACGTTCTAGCCCAAAAGCAAACATTCACAAAATGCACGGTCTTTGTAGATCCCAGAAGATGTATCTATGAGTTTTACAAAGAGGTTTCATACCTAGCACTTCCTGTTTGGGTGCCCTGGAGTAGGAGACCTGTTTACGTAGGGTAGTCTAGTCTGGACACCCAAATGGTCGGATGATCATAACTTACACCATGACCTGTCTGGGCTTCCAACAAACATGGTTTTCATGGTCTTGACCGAACCATGATGTTAGGATTCTACACTCCAAGGACCCAGGTCTGTCTTGGTCTTGGAGTGTCTTGGGTGTATGGAAGCTGGAGGCTCCAAAACCCCGGTCTTCCCATGTGAATCCTCAGACGTCTGCCCGGTCGATCCGGCGATCCGGCAGACCGGACCGTCGGAATGGTCTACTCCTCTCGGTTTTCCAGAGGGATCCTGGAATGGATCGGTCCCAGACTGGAGAAAGTCCGCACCTGGAACATCCTGGAACCAGGATGATATAGAGTTATTCTGTGTGTGATTTCAGGTGTGGAACCATCCTGGAAGTCTCCTGAACTATTCTAGAGTTATAGATTTGTTATATTCTAGATTGACTCCATTTGACTCCTGGAGTGCTGCAAGGTAAATGTTTTGGACTGGAACATGATGTCAGCCGACACTGCACGGTGGCCCACTGGGCCATTCACCTAAGACACACTTGGCCGCCCTTGGCCTTAGGACCCCCTAGGCCCGGGATGTCCGGTAACCATTGAATTAAGTGTCTTTACCAAACAACCATTGTTGTGCTAAGGATTTTAGACAACCACACCACAACCATTCTTTGCATGATCTTTGAAGGCGAGGAAAGGGATATAATATCAATGGAGTGAATATGAGTGAATGGTCCACCACTTCTGGGATTGAGCACCGGATCGTGCTTCCTGTTTGGCGGCACCGGGTCATGGGTTTAGGCACATCGAGCGAATGATGAAGCACGCGCTCCAAGACAGGCTCAAGGCTAGGGCAATGTCGGGCATTTGGACCTGCAAGGGGGTGGACCTTGATGGAGATCCCGGATAGTGGTGGGCTGGCGCTTTTTGCCACGAGACCCCGGAATGAAGGTGTTGGTGACCCCGTTGTTCTTGAGTTGGACAAGTTGTTTGCAGCCGTGACGAGCATTGACTGACTGCTGGAACAAGTGCAGCACTTGCCAATCTTTGCCAGGATGGATGATTGTGAAAAAAATGGTAGACATGTCACATGATTATGCATGATTACAGCAGTTTTGATTTTGAGCAGCCAGGGGGCATTAGCGAGTCTCCAAGGCATGTGAAGTTTCTATTGGGATAAGACCCCGCTGCTGTTCTGTGCAGCCATGTCAGGGGTTCTCTGAAAAAGGTTGCCACTAAGCGATCGTGCAAATTTTGACGAGCAGTTCGCAGGATTGCTATCTACAGATCCTGTTTTTGCTTCTGGTATTTTTTCTTTTTGAAAGCAAGAACATACTATTTGCTTCGAAACATACAGAAATCAATCGCACGTGCAACATGATTGTCCACAGCCACTTTCGTCACGACCGTTCTTGATGCCCACAGAACATGTCCAAGAAAGTGAGAACGGACATGCTCAATGAATGTCCTTTGAACACATGTTTTTAGTTGTGCTGTGAACATGGGTGGAGCTCAGCAGCGAGTACGTGTTGGAATCAACACTGAATCGCCAGCAAAATTGAGACGAGTAGCCATGGTGCAAGTGAGTATGAGCCAGTTTGGGTTCGCCGAAGACTCAGCTGACAGAGAGCAAACATGTGCGACTTGGCCGGACCTTTGCAGCCTTCTCCGGCCAACGAGGATCTCAGAATTGCGGCTGCTATGCCTTACCTGTTTGCGCATGAGTACTATCAGAACCCATGGTTGGGCCCCCAGCCCAGGCCAACTATTGACAACTTTGGCCTTTTAAAGGGATTCTGAGGTGGAAGAAGATCAGCGGCAGCTTCAAAGCCAGTTGCTTGCCCAAGTCTCTGCATTCTCCAAGTATTCCAAACCATGCTCCCAACAGAGTGTTCTCAAGCTCAGCTGGGGCGGCAGTCGAACATGGAACTTGACCAACGTATCCGACGGCTGAATTGGCAGTTGGAAGAGGAGCGTCGGTTGTCCAGTTCTGACCTTCTGTCAAATGCTTGTCGGCCAAGGTTGCACTTTTTGAGGGTGGCATGAAGCAGCTGTCCTGGAAACTCCACTTCCTCCAATGAGGCAGCAAGTTGAGTTTTCTGGTTGTGGCGCTTTGCTTGTGAAGTTGCTTTGTGTGGAGGCGAGGAGTCAGCGCTGACCCCGCGGCAGCGTGGGCTAGAGTATTTTGGAGCTTTCGACTGCTTCGACCTGCGCTAACACTCCGCAGAGCGAGGCTTCGTGGGCTTATTTGTTGCTTGTCTTATGATTTTCATACATGTTCATTGATAGCCGTGCAGATCGTGCAGCTGAAAATGCTGCGAATGGTCAGGCGCTGAGTCACCGAGCAGAGGTTCGGTGGAAAGAGCTTGTGACGTTTCATGCTGGTTGCTGTGACATGGCCGACGCCTACCATGCACGCGAACAGTCCGACAAGCCTACCGGGCGCTTTGCGGCATCACCCAGCAATCCAGTCAGTGTGCTTGTCAGGTCAAGTGTGCGTGCTTGTGCAGCATAAAATTTGCCGGCGGGCCTTTCGATTCTGCCATATACAGGACGCGTACCAAAAGCTGAAGTTGGCTGGCCGCGTGTCAAAAATGGTTTGTGCAAAAGTGCTGATACAGTTGAGAAGATCCGGTTTGTGGACTGCCTCGTTTTGGCAGAGTAACCTCGATTTTCACAAGCTGGGAGAATCGCAAACCGGAGTTTTCTCATGTTCGGATGGACACCTTGCATACTGGAGCCACCCCCTATAGCAGGGGAGCGGCGATTGCTCCGAATGTCTCTCACACCGAATAGCGGGAGGCAGGGGTCTGGAGTCATTAGCAGTTGTTTTCTTGAAACCGATTGCAGCCCTCGAAGTTTGAGGAAGTTTATCGCAAAGCACATGCGGCATTCCTGAGAGAGCATCAGCGACGTCGATGATGGCAGTTTCTTTAGTTCCTGATGTGGGTGACTGTCAACAGCGAGAGTGGGATTTGCGTTGTTCAGCATGTCCACTGGCCTCAAAGCTATGGCCAACTGACCGATCGGGGCCATGTCGCCGCCGATCGCTGACAAAGTAGCCAAAAATATCAGAAATGTGTGCTGATGGGTGCAAAGCCGGTTTGGAATAAATTTTTGGAAAGTCACGTGATCGCTTTGCCAGCTGGAATGTGGTGTGACCGCCTGCAGGTGGTGCTAGTGATCAACGGCATTGATCGGTTGATCATGGAGCTCAAGCTGCCCCCGACAGATGCCTATCACAAGCATCTTGACATCAAACATATCAGCTGGGCAAGGGGGTCATTGGTCTAGCAGCCAAGCCCTAGCAGTTTCATCTAAAAAGTAATCATGTGTGGTTTTCACATGTTTTCACTCATAAAGAGCGCTTACCTGTTCTCATGTGGTGAAGGTTTTTCTATGACTACTTTGCTGTCACACTTCATGGTTCATCATGAATCATGTGTCAATATGTTTCGGATTCCCCTTGTAGGGGAGCAAGCAGTGGACTCATACGTTTGCGCTGCTGGTAAGCACAGCAATGACAAAAAATTTGGACCGTTGTGCTGGAAGCAAATTGACAAATTTGACGCCAAAAATGGGAAGTGTTGAAACGGAAAAAATTTCGCGACTTGCAACCTGGTGAACAGATGTGACGGGTGGTCAAATGTGTTCTTTATGGACACGACGCGATGCGCGCGCACTTGCGCCCATTCCGGGGTGTTGCCCAGATCCGTGAAATGTGTTTTGCGTTTCCGAACATATTGTAGTTTTTTTTTGCCAGATTTGGCCGTCACAAATTCACCGAATGCGAACCCTCCACTTCTTCAATGCATCAGCGGCCGACCACTGGGTCTAACGAGATGGTGGCCGAGTCAGTTGGCCAAGGCTGAGATATTGCATCGAGGACATCAACGAGACGATGGAGAAACTCTACGACTCGGCTACTGGTCCGATGATTTGGAACTCGACACGTCACGGCTGGAACGAACGACACCTGCGCTCGCCGGTCACGGCTCGCTGCGTACGGTTTTTAATCGACCCGGATTTGCCAGGTTGGCACGGAGGTGGACGACCGAGTCTACTTCTCCCCGTTGAGAGGGAACGCCGGGAAACCCATGGGAACGGAGCGCCCCGCATGGGGGAGGAGGGTAGAAGGGTGGGCCAAGGGCGGAAAAAACGTTTTTCTCAACTGCCATTTGGGGACTCGGTTATTGTGGTGGGAACGGGAAAGATCTGAGGTTTGTAAGGATGGTGAAATGGGCCTGCAAGCCGAGGTGAGCCACAAATCCTTCCGAAAGTGTGTTTGTTCTGGGCCATGTGTGTGATACATATTTGGCATGTTTTTAACTTGTGGTAACTGACTTGAGCGGATCTGTTCAATGAGAGCATTTGCTACATTCTCAAAGTTGTTTGACAACACAAGTTCAACCAGCGCCATTTCTCGTGTCACCCTTTCTGGAACTGAAACACCATGAGTGATACTGACAAGCTCTCACGTTCTGTGCTGCTGGATCTGAATAAAAGATGAGTTCTGGATCAGCTGTGTTCCATGGTGGCTGTGCTGAGGTGTTGTTCAGCTCTGCCCAATTTAGACACTTGGATTGCATCTTAACAGACCTGTGGCCTGTTGTTTTTGGTGTGTATTTCATTTTGTCTTCCCGCAAAAGGCGTCCGCACTGACTGTGTTTCTTGAAGCACCACTGACTGCTTGTGAAAGTTCCATTTGCATAAATTTGCAACAGTTAGCAGTTAGCAAGTGCTTGAAGACATTCATTATGCCATGCTAACTGGTTCACTGGTTCACTGGCAAGGAATGATGTTCACCTTGGAGTCCTATGCGGCGATCTACGCCGAAACGCATGGCTTCAGTGTCTTGGTCGAGTCGACTGGGCGAGTCCGGCGCGGCAACAGTGATTGAGTTAGGCAGTTTTGCTTTGCCTGAGAGCGGTCCTTCGTGACATGCTGAGGTTTTGACCATCTCACCTTTGCCAAGTGCCTTTGGGGAGATATGTACTACAATGCAACTGGCCTCAAACGAATAAAAACAGCGTTGAGTGAGAGAGAGAGAGTATATACTTCAACCTCGATCTGCGTGGCGACTGTGTTCGAACCCTTTGGTCCTTTGTCTCTACCAGACTCTACCAAGAAGGGTCCTCTTCCAGGGCCCGGTTGGGCCTGGACTTTGAGCAGACGAGCGGGGTGTGGGTGACATAAGTGGTGGGTTTTTCCCTGCACTCGATTTCACCGGGAAATTTTGTCGCTACGAACGTGACAGTCCCGTGGAGGTCTGAAACCTCCCAAGACTCGACGAAGAGTGTCCAGAGAGTGTGTGTGTGCAATAGGATGTGAGAGAGGAAGAAGATCTGAAACCATGCACGTGACGTCATGTTTCAAATTTCCGGAGTCTGCCGGAGTCTTTCGTCTTTTGTTTCAAGATTCTCCAGGTCTTTCTTAAAACCAGAGGTTGACCAATGGAAGCGCAGCCAAGCCCCGAAAAGCGTGGCTCTTCAGCCGACACCGCAAGAGAAGCGACGTACCGCTCCGCATCGCTCCGCTCCGCGGCGTGGCGAGGCGGAGGACAACAAGTTCACGAAGACGCCTCCCGATGCCGAACAGCCTCGGTCCTTCGTGCAGCCACTTAGACGTAGTTTGTGTCGATAAAGACGACAGGTTTGGATGGGTTGGGTTGGGAACATCTTGTACAGATCTAGACATGAAAGATCTAAAGATATATAAAGACAATTCAGGAGAGTGGCTTGTTCATTCACCACCCAGTTCGGGTTGCTAAGGTTCCATCAAATCTGGTAATTATACTATGTAGTAAATAGTTCAACATGTTAATTAAACACATGTTGCAATGGCTGCTTGTTGCCATCGGTTTGTTTATCAACATATTTGTGAATCGTTCATTTCTAATCAAGCAACCTTCCAATCGAAATCTACTACAGGCTGACCAAGTCGGACATTTGTTTGTAGCCTTCATCCCCTAAATAATGTTCTCACCAGAGCATGCCAAGCACTTTTTAACTCAGCTCATCTAATTGAAGCCACTTGTGCTATTAGGTTGGAGACCATCGCAAATAGTTTGGAGGCCATTAATTTATTATTCGTTCTTTCTTGGAAACTTTATTTAGGGTCGTCCCAAATTCCCAGCATCCAAAAAACACGGTAGTCATTTTGTTAATCAGAGGTCAACATTACTACTAGTAGCAAGGACGCTATTAGATTGGAGGCAGCCCTTGAACCATTGCCGCCATCGTGTGGCCCGTCGGCGCAGCGATGGACGCCATAGATGGGTGGGTGGGTGTGCCACCTCGGTGCCCAAGATGCGGAGGAAGAACTTGGTGAAGAGTCACGGTTCTGTGATCAGCATCAAAGTGACTAATTTTTGACCTGTTTCCGTAGAGTTGAACGGTAGAGTTGAACCATAGAGAAGTCCGAAGATTGTTCTTTTTTACGACCCAAGTCTTTGACCAATTTTGAATCAGTACAGCTAAAGAGAACCTGGCTGGAGTAGATAGAACAAACAGGGTAGGAGCATAGCGTGTAATCCACACCCGTTCATTTTTAGAAGGTTTGATAGACCAAAAGCCATCAGAATGTGTGTGTGATGTTTATTTTTAGATCAAGCCTTTTTTTCCTCCTAGTTGGCCGCTGCCAGAAAAACAGAAGGTCCATAACACAACCAGCCGCCACGCGGCACAGCAAGCAGGTTCGTGTTGGAGCCGATCTATAAGATCTTCGCGCACTGTCTGGGTGAGGAGAAAGATGATTTGGCGCAAACCTTAGCAGAGGCCGGGAAAATCTTCCGCCCAAGCGCCTTTGCACAACACGTCATTTCCATGTGTTCGCATCTCACCTGGATTTTTGGGGAAGAATTTTGTCCTAACGATTTTGTCTCATGGCTTTTCTTTAAAACTGGTGGCTATATGCTATGGCATTAGGCTATAGTGGTCGCTGGCATGGCTTGCGGCATGGCTGGTTTTTGTTCCCGCCTAATGTTTCATGAGATGATCTGAGTTGCAGATCTTGATGACGGATATTGTGATTGCATTGTCTTAAATCCATGTGACAGATGTTCCAGCCAATGACGGATGAATGTTCATTGGCCGAAACAACAGCATTGTCCAATGATCATCGTGTGACTGAAGGATCATCAAGATCCTACACTAAGTTACTAAGCTACACCTTCGTTTTCACACAAGGATGATGAGTGCCACTGAACGCCATGGGAAAACATCGGACACATCCCAGAAAACCACAGGGCAACAGAGGACCCTCCACCGCGTGCTTCGCCGTGAGCGCAGCGACGACTCGGGGCCTCGTGAGGTGGGCATCTACTTGCACAAGCGTGACTATGAGTTGGATGCGCGTTCCTTGATCCGAAAGGTCTTTCTTCAGTACTTTGGCGCCGGTGGAGGCCGCGCTGTTTTGGGGCCGCGCTGTTTTTGGCCGGAGGCTGTTGCAAAAGCGCTATAGACGTCTGGGTGAGCCAAGGCTTCAGAGCAAAGAGGTCTTAGAGTTGAGAAGGCCGTTAAGTGAATTGGCACTTGGAAGAGATGAATATCATATATAATAAGTAATATAATCAGGTGGTGCTATAACTATATATAATCTTGGTGAAAGAACGCAGCCCAGGAATGGATTCAGTATTGTATTTTTGAGTCTGAATGACATCCGTGCGTTTGTCTTGTTTGCAGGCCTGCCATCATTTATTGACATGGCACCCTGGCAAGCACGTAGCCAATGTAGGGCATGCGTCGCATGCCTCTATCACAATGTTCAGAGCATCCCAGGACTTTTGGTTAACCTCAGCTGACCATATGGACATAGGTGGTAGTTAAGTATCCACGCGTATCTGATGTTTCTTGTTTAAACTATCAACTATCTATATATCAATAGTCTTCAAGGTGAACTCTTCACACAAAAACGGCTGGTCCTAGCTGGCCGAACTTCTTTCGATCCAACGGCTGGTCCATCGACTTCTCCTTCCGCCACTGCCTCTGACGGCAGCTCAGGTGGTGCGGCATATCCCCACTCCCAAGGAGCCGCCGCGAAGCGGTTGGCGGTGGTCTTTGCGTCGTTGGCGGCAGAGAGATGCTGAGATCTGGGGCGTGAGCTATGGCAGACTCTGCTATGACTGATGAAATCAATCATTGTATTTAGACAGGGGATTTGGGAGTAAGACTTCTTCAACACGTGTGCAAACTGTAGGAGTTGTACTTTTACGTACCAATACCTGGACCCTCCAAAGTATTCTAGAAGAACGTCGTTACTCGAACTAAACATGTTCAAATACAAGAACTGAGCATCCAGCTGGAAGCCCAGCAGTGACCAGCTAATCATGATTGTTCATACAAACATGGCAAGCGCCCAAGAGCAAAAGCTCGACCCCAACAAGAGCCTCAAACCCTATAGGCCTCTCATTCGCTTGGTCACCTGTTCGTGCCACCAAGCGTTTGTGCAGGAGAGTGCAGAGGCCAAGGCGGCTCCATTTGGGTTCATTAATTTTGTCGTTCTTTTGGTGGTTTGGACGGGTCTGGAGGTTCTGGACGGGTCTGGAGGCAGCTGGTGATGGCGGAGTGATGACGAAAAAAGTGTGAACACCCGGGCATTGGGTGCATGTGCTGAAGAACCCGAGCGGCTCGCTGATCCCCGGCATTTCGGGGGGGTTCTGGGATGAGCAGATGTTTCACTGGAGCCTGGGATGGCGATGGAGGATGGGTGTAGGACATGACTGCCCATCCTGAGCAGATCAGCATGTTGTGCCCAGACAGGTGGAGAAGCTGTACTCCGGAGATCAAGATGGTGCTGTGGCGCAAGACATGAAGAACCTGGACACCACAGGCGAATCTGGCGACAGGTGACCCCTGAACACCCCCCAGGGTGCCGGCTGTAATACGTAGATGCCAAAGCATGTGGCGTTTGTTTGCACCATTTTGGCCAAGCACCAAGTGCTGTTCATGCCATGTCACTTCCGAATTGATATAATTAAACATAATTAAGCCAATCCTTCAACAAGCACCTTAGCACCTTTGTGCTGTTTGGGTGTTGTTTCTCTCTTCAGTGACTTCAGGGCTTCACATATGTTTCGGTGTTTGGTTGATGAACACAGTTGCCGTACAGGCTACTTGATGCTGCATGTCGTGCCTCGTCGGAAGCGATTGTAGTGGCATGAAGTGGCAACAGTTGGCTACGTTTGGTGGGAAGAAAGGGAGAGAGCTAGGCAATGCTAGGCAGCTAGGCAGTCGTGTTCCGTTTTCTTGATGCTGAAACCTTCAAGGCTTTAAAGACACACTGTGGCAAGCTGATTGGTAGAGCACTTGGCTCAACATGCCAGCTCTAAAGCTGGCAAAACACAGACAGTTCGCCGAGATCGGTGATAGCAATTCAGCATGATGGCAGTACGGTGGTCCTTAAAAATGCATTTCTATCCTGTTTGTTGCTTAGACTATTCCCAAAGCGTCGTTTTTTCAAGTTGGTTGGACGTTGACGCAACCATTCCAGTTATTGATTTCTTTGGGGGGGTCACTACCACACGGTTCCTTACGTGTGCGTTTATCTTGCTCGATCTTCGAGGTCAAGCAATACCACCGGCCCGACTGCAATGCCTTTGATGTCTTCGGGCGTGTCCTGTCGGGCACCGTTTTTCGTGGAGATCGCGTGAAGATCTTAGGAGCGGATCCCGGCGGGTGGGTCCAAGAGGGTGGATGATGAATGGTCTTGACATGGGGCGACGTGAATTGGGGCTGATGTGTCCATTGCAAGGTGGTCAATTAGGTGCTTCGAACTGTTCATCATTTTGGGGGGTCCTGTTGATCCCTATTTGCACCTTGCCGTCTGGTGGTCCACTCTAGAAAGCCCCCAGCTGTTGGATTTCTTCCCTCACAGCGACATCTCTGCGGGGCAGAAACGGCACGGACTTTCTACGTCGCTGTCCAGGTCTTCTTGGGGAGGATGATCCCCAATCGGTTCGTCCAATCGTCCAATGCCATGTGACATCATGTGACCGTGTTTGCTTCTGACTCTCGTGGTTGATGCCAATTTCCCACCAACGAGACCGACCTATGGACATCTATTTCTATGACATATGATGACCGGACGCACATGACCGGTAGGAGAGACCTACTCGCTGGATGATGACGAAGATATGGCCATCAAGGAGATTCAGAACCTTTGGATCTTCGAGGCGCCGGTCGCACCGGTCGCACCATACCTCGAGGTTGTTGGGGGGGGGGACTTCTCACGTCGGAGAAGGTGCGGAGAAAGAGGGAGATGGGAGGCTGGTATTTGAGAGGTACTTAGTATAGGCAGGATGTAGCAATTTGAGAGTGATGTTCTGTAGCAACAGAAAAGCTCCATATTTAGAGTAGGAGAGAGAGAGAGAGAGAGAAAGAGAGATAGACTCATCTAATGCGGAAGGATGTTTTAAGAATTTGTGCAAGTGCAGGTCTATTTGTTTGATTTGCCACTGTGCCGATGTCCTTCAGTGATTTCGGCTTGAGCTAGGGATACACTGGGCCAGTGAAAGGAGTCTTGGAGTCTGCTAATGCCATGCCGTTCGGATTGTGTTCGACCGACTGAATTGCTTGGCCAGGGTCGCTATCGTGTGGAAGTCAGCCACGTGCCAGCAGGCAACTGGGCGTCTCGGCTTTGAATCGGTTATGGTGTTGGTGTTGGGTTTCATGGGGCGGATGGCCAGGGTCGCTCATTGGAGAACATGGGAGAAGCTGTTAATGTCTAAGAGTCTATGAGGTGCAGCACGGCTACATATAGAATCGAAACATTACCGGAGTAGCTGGAGGCTGCTCCAACTCCATCAGTACGGCGTAGAGATACAACGTGTAAACTGTACTTAAGAGGCTCGTGGTGTATGGGGGTTGGGCAGCACCTTATCCCCCAAAGAAAGAACATATAGTTTCCTGATGTTTCCTGCACATATATATATATATATAGAGATATTTTGAGCTACGGGCATGTTGGATTGGATTAATGTTCATTGTTTGTTTTCAAGCAAAACTTTCAAACCTGATTTATTTTTTTAAGCACGGTAAACCAATGCACAGAACAGAACAAGCATGAACAAGCCCTTTAGGCCCCCGACTCGGAAAGCGGGTTTCATTGATCTCTAGAGGCACCACCACCCCACCGGGGGCAACACGGCAGACGCACTCCGATGCGCTCGGCTCGGGCACCGATCCCAAGGTCTTGATCGGAGGCATTGAGACCTGCATCAAGAAGACGGCCACCATCACCACAGCCTCCAACGAAGAGGAGGACGGACGCACCTTGCGGAAACGCCGAAACGGCCGCGCGCCGCGCGCGTTTCCGCGGGGCTTTCCGCGTCGGCGAAGACTAGGGTGGTGTGCGAAGACTGTGAGAGGGGTGCCGCTGGTGGTGAATGACTGTAGAAGTGAAGCATATTGAACCATTCTGGGCATTGGTTTCCGCGACACACAGGTGGAGTCTTGAGGGAAAGAGGTAAGTATACGTGTCTTTCAAGGGAAGCTAAGGGAGTGAGGATGGCGTCATCCCATGTGTGACAGCTCTGATTTTTTAAGATCCAACCTGATCCAAATGATGTGCCAGACTGCACTCCAAGATACTCCGAAGTGGGGTCATTCCTTTTGTTTGAAGGTTTTGCTTAGGGTGATGATGAGTGGTATGTTAAAACAAATCGACTAAATAACATATATATATTGTCTAATCCGTTCTATAATTGTATGAATGGTATCATATCATGAATGGTATAATCCGTTCATAATCACCATAGGTATTATAAAAGATTAGACAATGGTACCATTTTCCCTTTCTGAATCCCCTCTTTTCTGAGTTTCCAGTTCACTTCTCCGGTGCCGAACCGCGCCGGGTGATCTTCCGATCACAGGTGGAGATCTTCCGGCCGCTGCGCTTCCCCACCACGCCGGTGGGGAAGCCCGTGTTCGTGCTTCGGAGAGTGCCGGGCCGGGAGAGTGCCGGTAGGTCCAGAACATAGTTGTGTAGAAAGAAATATGGATGAAACTTAAAACATCTGTTTCTCCTTGAAAGCGGAAGTGTCCAAAGCCAATTGGTTTGGGGAAAAAAGACACAACAACATGCATACTGCCTACTACTTACTTTGTGGTTCCTTTTTGTTTTTTGTTTTGCACCGGTCCAACTCTCCGGCGATGTCCTCACCTCCCAAATCCTGTGACGGCCCCCCCTGTGCGTGTCAGTCGCCTGTGATCTCTCACTCCGCTTCGCCCCTGGAGCCACTGCAGGTGATCAAGGTCGCCATCGAGCCACTGCAGCCCGCCGAGCTGCCAAAGATGGTGGATGGGCTCAGGCGCGGTCCCGGCCGAAGCGGAGGCCGAAGCGGAGGCCGAAGCGGAGGCCGTTGGCATTGTTCTTTCGGACTCCGCCGTAGAAGTCGGACGGGGTGCTCCGAACAGAGCCTCTTGGGGTCCTGGTTACAGAGATCCATCGCTGTGCCTATTCAGCGATGATGGATGTTTGGACCAACAAGTGTGGAACACCTTGACACCTGGACTATCCAGTTTGGGTCTCCTGTCGATGCCTGAGTCATCCTATGGGATCCCTAAGTATTGTAGGCTAGTCCGGGTAGTCCATTCGACGCCTATTGGACAGTCATCCGGCGTGTTTGGTGCTTTGTGTGGACTGCAAAGTCAGCTGGGGCCGTCGAGTCCGCAAGTGCCCGCAGGAAGATCGACAAGGCATATCCTTTGTCCCGAACAAAGGCGCCTGTGGGCAAACTGGGAGTGTCCTTTTCACCGTCATTCATTGGAAAGGCTTTTGGTAGTAAGCTTGATTTAGGAGAAACCATTGCAAACACTTTAACTTGGAACTTGTGCCTTTGCTATAGGAGCACTGTATAGACCCACCATCCATTACCATCCTATACTTTATATAATTGCCCATTGCAAGCGGATAGCGATAGCGATAGCTAACTCACTATGTCACCGTTCTTCGCTCCAGGTGGAAGAGAGCGGCGAGCTACTCGGATCGCGGTTTCGTAGTAAGCGCGCGTGTGGCCGGTGTTGCGCGGTGTTCGTCGGCCGCGGTGTCGTCGGCGGTGAAGGCGGTCATTCGGGGCCTCGGCGGTTTTCCTTTGTTTATTTTTTCTCGGTTGAGAAGCAAGGCTTAAGCTTGGAAAAAGAACACAATAACAGCATAGTCATAGATCACAGAATCCGGATTCCTACATGGGAATCCCATGTCACAGTCCCCCTGAATTTGAGTGCTTCCGAGATGTTCTACTTCAAACCGGTAGGATACACTGGCTACAGTAGAGAGAACTCATGGGCTGAATCTACCTGGGATGGTCGGCGCATTGATTAAGTTACACAGGTGGTACCAGTGGAAAGTACATGTTGCAAGGAGACTCCAGCAACGAAGTTTTTCAGCGGCCAGTGATTTGCAATTGTTCGGTTATACAGTTCTGCGAGTTCTGCGGCCATAGCATCATTTGAAGCCTGATGCAATCTAGATTGTGCCAGCAGGACTGCCTGAAATCCTTCCTTCCCCGCAAACTTCTATACATAGATATCCATGTGGGGATGTTTGGCATTTGATCGTTTCAAGGTGGATTCATACAGTGCGACATGTGCAAACGTTCCAAGTCACGTCTCCAAGTCATCAATTCCTTTGAAGTCGTTGAAATCAGCCATGCGTTGAAGCGCCACACATGTTTTCGGCGTTGAAGCGCCGCCAGCCACCTGGCGCCACATGCGTCCCCGCGACCGCGCCGAGGCATGTACTCCTAGGCACCGGCGAGGTCTACCTGGACTGCGTGCTTCATGACCTGCGTAGGCGAGGAACTTGTCACTCCGGTCTTGTACCCCCACAGATCCGTCGGCGTCGGCTTCGGTGGGCGCAGCTTCAGAGCTTCGGATTCGTTCGGGTTGTTTGGGAGCCGGAACGGGACCGCCTTGAAGGAAAATGTACTTGGAGGATGTAGAGATACATGTAATACCTTGAGGCGTGTTGGGAGGATGTTGCAGGTATTCTAAATGGCATATTATAGCAAGTGTATTAGCACAGGCGTGGGATGAGTCAACAGTTAGTCAACACATGACAAACAGATCCCACAAATAACAACACGTTTAGCATAGTTAGCTATTTGCAGTTGCAGCACTTGCTAAATGTCCTATTTAAATAAGGCATAAATCTACCCTCTCCCATGTCCTGTGCACGGCAGCTGGCGTCACCCGAAGACGGGACTCCCATGTCGTGACTCACATACACGCTGGAGACCTTCAGAGGATCGTGCTCCTCCCTCCTTCATACATGGAAGTGTGTCCATGACGCATGCTTCTTGCATGCGCCATCATCCAGACGTTTAGAAAACACGTAGTTTTTACAATCAAACCACTTATTTGCAAAGATCTCCTGTCCAGATTCTCCACACATACGTGCCGTATGTAGTTCCACAAGCAAACACCGTTTTTCCAAGATCTCCCGTCCACACTGTGTGGCCCACACACATACTTCCACAAACAAAGCACTTAATCTACCAACCATCTACCAACCATGGTTTGCACACATGTAGTTCCACAAACATACCACTCATTTCCGTAGATCTCCCATGCATACTTGTCTACACAGATCTCCAACGTTCGAGACCGTGGCATGGAAGGCGTAAGACACGGGTCCGTGGCATGCGCCCTGTATGACCATGCCGCGTACTTTTCCGGTGTTGACCTGAACACCTTGATGAACAGCCAACATGCTCACATGGGTGGCATCGCATGAAAGGTCTGAAAGAATTTCTTCAGGTCGCGGTATGAAAGGTATGATTTGTTTTGAGGTTCATGGTGCGGTATGAAAGTCGTCCATCAATGCAACCAATGAAGGTCAACATGAAAGTTCATGAGCGTGTTGGTGGCAGTGTGCACTTCATTGTGTCCGTCTTGTCCACATCAAGCAAACCTTGTCCATCCATGGAATGAGCCAAGCTTGTTCATCCATACCAAATCATGCATGGGCTGGAATGCTGCATGAGAGATTCTCCGCTACTGCCTATGGCAAGAGATCATCGGACGACCCGAGTGCAGACCGCAGGATCTCTGACGGAAACAGACATGTTTCACGTTTCCATAACATCCAGTGAACTGTCCTGCTGACTCACCCTTTTGACCGCCAACACACGAGGCAAATGCAGGGGGTGGCGCACCCTGATGTAGGACGACGCCAGCAGGTGCTATGCCCCACTCGCTGTGTCCCTAACATTGTCCTCGGGTGTCGCTTGTCGTTTTCGTTCTACTCATTTATATATGCGTGGTAATAAATTAACAGTTAACACGCTTACCGCTTATCATGAGTACTTACAGTTTGGATAGTAAGTTCCTGCATTGGATACAACACAAAGTATATAAGCTGACGTGTCGTAGTTAGTTAGTTATGGTAAGTACTCAGCATGCAACCACAATGTTACATGTTCAGTTGCAGCAGCTATATCTCAAGCTTTGCTATTTCCTATGTTGGGTTAAACACAATACTAAGTTACTAAGCCTTTAAGATCCTTTAAGTATACTTTGTTCTGGGAGGATTTACGCCCTTCGCTTATAGTTGTTTAGATCAAAAAACAAATCCAAGATGATCCTGTGACGTGGTCAAGCCCCAGGCCCAAAACCGTTGTCTTTGGGGTATGACCCACAGCTGTCCCATGTCTTGAAACAATTTCGAGCATCCCAGACACAGCAAGACTCCTCCCTTACCAGATCAAGTGCAGGCAATTTTGAGCACAGCCGTTCGAAGCTTGCTTAGACGACTTTGTAGACTCTGGAATGTTTGGCTTCAAAGCGGCACTTCTCCTTCCCCCGTGAAGAAAAGCCTCCAAGTTCCAACCAAGTGGCGCTCCACAAGTGCCACAAACCATCACACAAACAGGGTTGAGTTTAAGAACCGGGTGTTCAATCCAAGAGACCCCGGGCTGTATGGCGAAAACGGCCCTCTCTTTCGGCAGGCTGTATGGCGATTTGGAGATCAAAGTGGCCGACCCTGTGGTGGAGTTCTGCGAGACGGTGGTGGATCCTTGAAAGGTTTGGGACCAGCCGAGACCACCCACCGTCTTTGGGAAGTTGGTGGGTGAGTTGGGTGAGGTTTTTTTTAGAATTTCCGGTCATGGAACTGAATCAGCACAGAGATGTGCAGATCATCAGGGGTTGATATTTGCTGAAGCGTCCTTGAAACTTGGAATCATTCATTGAATGGTTCTGTCAATAGTGACTCTAGAGATGTTGTTAGCCGGGCACCGTTTGTTTTTTGTCATACAATTGATGGAATCCTGTGGAATCTACTTGTTCTGTTTTTTGTCCAGTTGGTAGGTGCTGAATCATTTTTGCGCTTCAGCTCCGGCCATTTCAGCTGCAGTGGAACAGGTCTACGGCAACAGATGGCCTATGGGCAGTTGAACACCAACATGTAGCTCTATCCACTGCAACATGCCGGTTCTGTCCTGAACCTCCCTCCAAAAAGAAAACACACCTTCTCTAAACACCACCTGAGTTGCAAAGACGTTGCATCCATCCCATGTCTCCCGTCTCCTCCGTTGGATGTTTACCAAGGAGACGAGCTCCCTGAAGTGCTTCGCGGAGACGCCAAACAAGAAGAACAAGAAGCTTTGGCACAAGCTTCGCCAGAGTGGCCAAATATGATGCCATAAGCATAGTGATGCTATATATTTATAGATCATTTTTAAATGGCTGGAGTATTCGAGTCCATATTTGAGGTGACCTGTGTTGTTTCTATATTTATATCCCATAGCCTATAACTATGATACGCACATATGTATAACATCCTATAACTATGATTGTGGTAGCGATGATCGTCATCATTATCTTCATTGTCCACTCTTGCGAAGCAGAGCTACCCATTCTGGCACGGCGTTGCAATTCCTACCTATCCACGCTGTTCAGCTGGATTGGTACTAACAGCGCTTTGTTGTTGTCTCTGTTGACAGTGCTGTGGGAGCTTCATCAATCACTGTAAATCCTCCTGATCAGACCTATCGCGGTTTGACTTTGCTTGCATTCCCCACACGGGGCTTAGGCCGATGTTCCAGTCGTACCTCCTCAGAAGGTCATCGAACCCTCCAAGAAAACCCACCCCGGTCCCACCGAACCTCAGGTTCGGTACGACTAAAACCCCTGGCATTCCTTGAGGATCTACATGGTCGCCGAGCCTTTGGAAAAAGGTCTTGGTGAAGATATCGAGAAGGGCAAGGCCGAACTTGTGGACCGTCGGTCTGTTAGTCTGTTGGTTGGACTGGAGGGACCTATGACTTGAAATGCAACCAGGTTTGCTTTTGATGGCTTTTGCAGTTCAACCCCCCCCTGGAGACGAATGGACAGGACCAAGCCAGATAGTGTAAGTCTCTTGTTTGAGCATCATGTGGTGCCTCAGAGGAGGACTTAAAAAAACCATGCTTCACTTGCTTCAGGTCAACATCGAATGGGACAAGCGCCGTCTCAGTGACTTCTTCACCAAGAACTACGATTGGGACCGACCACCGTGTCCTTCCGCGGTCCCCGTGCTGGTCCGTGCCGTGGTCCCGCTGAAGTTGGGTTGAAGTATCAGAAGTATCATGTACTGCAGACATGGGTAGACTCGGTAAATCTATATGGCAACATATTTCAATCCCCCCAGGCCTGTTTGGAGGTGTTGTGATTGGGATTATTTATCAAGAGTCTGCATCATCAAGGGGTGTCCAATGGAGATCCCCTAAGTAGTGTCTGGGGGCTTCCATTGTTGACCCCTTGAAGGTGCGGGTATACATAAATTACATAGCAAGTCTAGAACTCCCAAGCTTCAGCTAGTAGCACTAGTAGCAGCTAGGTAGAAAGTGGATCCCAAATCAATATGTTCGATATCGTCTCTTGTGTAGGACCACTAGACTCTATGACCTGCATTCTCATTGTTTCTTGCTTGACCTAAGAAGCTGGACAAGCAGTGTAGAAGCCGTGGCCGTGGCACCTTGCATGTTCCCCTTCGTCCAATATTAAACACAACATGATTCAAACTTGTTCAAAGATAGTAGCTCGAGGCAAGTAGGCAAGCAACTATAATATACAATATTTATTCTATACCTGTCTAATCAATCTGATGTTGAGAATTGTGTGCTTGTATACTTTCCAATCCTTGGTTTGATGGGTTTCATAGCGTTTCACATTTAAGCAGCAAAGTCCTGCTGAACCCGTGATTCGACACTGATCGAGGATCCAACAGAGCAAAGCCTGAATTAACCTGACACAACACAATATACCGGTCATGATGTGTTTTTACTTTAAGAATGCTCATATACATCCACATCCGTGTTTTGTCTCGTGCTTCTTTAGATGGGTACGAAAAAAGAATACATCCATATATGATATAGAAGTATATAGATACCTTTGCTCATCCATATGTAATAGACATCCATATGTATATAATTGCTCAAGTGACCCACGGTCGAGACCTGCCCGGTGCGCGAGGATCTGCTGGCGTCGCGCTCCGTGTGGGCCTTTGGCCCGGAGGCGAGTCTCGGTGATTCGACCGGTGGAACCGGTGGAATCGAGGGATGTAGACGAAGTGACCAACGACGAGGGATGGAGGCACAGCTATAGTCACTAAGGCCAGCCAGCCATGATTGTTGGATAGAGGGTCACAGTGAGCAATGCAGTTGCTAAAGGTCAACAACCATGATCTCCCCACCCAAGTGGCCCAAAAACAGCTACGTGAAGAGTTCCGGTGCCATGGGAAGGCTTGCACAATGTGCCCCACTGTAGCAAGATGTAGCAAGTCTGAGACTATTTTTGGAGACTCCAATGCATTGGACCAGTGCGCACCTTTGGAACCAGGAGCAAGTGGGGCGCATGGGAAGACTTCCCACGCGCGAAGAGCCCTCCGATGTTGGCCGATCGAAGAAGAGGAAAACGACCACGCGCGGATACGCCAGGTGAATGGCCCCAACGTGCTGTTGGACGATAGCTTACCCACAGAGGCACGCAGTCCATGTACGCCACCGAAATCAGATTAAACATATACAGCCCAGACATGACATGACCTCTGTTTTGATAGGACAAAGACAATATCTTAGAGTGTTTTGGTGGTCCAAAACTAGGGGCCACTCAGGTTTTATGTTATTTGTTGAGCAAAGGCGGGCGCGCACACATGTTGGTGGTTTGCATGCGAATCTGTTTGATTCGGCAGGATTAAGTGTTTGTCGCTCCACCATCAAATGCTTGTTTAAACAAAAAATATAAGACAATTATAAGATAATATAAAATAAGTAAAAACAAACATAGATTCTTGGTCGGAAAACAAGTAGATTAATTTAAATAAGATCACCCCCAAACATGTTTTGGCCGTCCTTTCTATCTATTTGGATGATACCTCACTCAGGACTCTGGATGTGTTTAATGATTGTGTTTCCATACAACTCATCCCATGCTCAGAACTGAAACTGACTCTTCAGGTGTATGCTTGCATACTTTATAAACTGTGCAGGTGAACAAGAGCCTTCTGGCCCAAAGCAAAGACAGCCTGCGACCAAGAGCATGTTCGTGAGTGCTTGGTTTGAGATTTGCTGATAAGCACAAGAAAAGGATGGGCTTGTCATGGTGTGTCTCTTGGAAATCCAAACCAAACCAAGAGGCAGGTCGGAGCCGCGGAGCGCAGATTTCTGAGCGCGGGTCCGGCTGAGGCTTAATCCAAGGCTTCCAATGGGCCACAAAGGAAGGACCTTTGTGCGATGTTGGGAGCCTCAGGTGGTTTCCAGCGGTGGTCTCCAGGGCCCGGGAACCTGCGGTTTTCTCAGTGCGATGGACATCCCTCAACCAGCAGTCAGCAGATCTGAGCACTGAATTGCTTCAGAGGTGAGCTCGTGTGTTGTGAGATGTTCGGATTGTAGATACCTGGGCGGTCCGAATTTTTGACCAGATGCAGATGAACAGCTGGAACTGTCTCAGGTTGGAGGTGGGGTAGGACTTGGGGCCCCTGAAAAAACTGAGGATCATCCATGAGATCAAACAGCTCATGCATATACCTTGAAGCTTGCCGAGGGTCAATGGGGGTTCCATCGACCGGTCATATGCGTCCTACGCATGACCTGCCGGTTGACCTGCCGGTTGACCTGCGCGAGCGGCGCTGCGAGGAGAAGATCCGCAGCTGCAAGTTCAAGATCCTCAATGCGCAGCTGGCCGACGATGTGGTGCTCCGGGGTGGTGGCTCCTCGGCGCGACAAAGGAACACATGGACCAAAAAGCCACCATTCAGACTTGCGATGGAGATGCAGAAGGTGCAAGGTGCGTGGCAGGACAGTCTGTGGTCCGATTGGGACGCACTGTGCATGGCCAAGGGTCTGCCGACGGAGGTTGAGGGTATTTCATGTCACGGTGAGAGGTGCTTGGTTTTGGGGACCCTGGTTGGGTCTGGGTTACGACACCAGCCAACAAGCGATTTCAACACGTCGTGTGAAAGGCCAAGGTTCAAACCTCAGATCGGCCGCTGAAAGGTGGTCACCTTTGCATCGTTTGCAGAAAGGTTTCCACCTAACATCCAACAAAAAGCCATAATAACAGATTGTGTTAGGTGGAACCAGTCAATGCTTGTCAGCATCGATTGCTTGTTGTTTGTTTCCCGAACAGAACCGATGCTTGGACCTCTCTTGACAGAACCGGACAGCACGGGACAGCACTCCCAGCAAGGTCAGATCATCCCAACGGCTCGACGTGTTGGGACCTCAGAAAGCACGCCACGATTCGGCGAGGTTTTTGTTGCTTAGTTAGTTTTGTTTTGCTTGTTGTTTTGGATTGTGTTTGTTTGTTTGTTTGTTTGCTTTTTTTTTTGTGTGTTGCTGTCGTTGCTTGCTATGCTTAAGCATACTTAGCAGATCCTCAGGTTTCAGAGCAATCACTTCTTACCTGTTCATTCCTGTACTATAGCCTATAGCTATAGGTATACCAATAGTAATCCACAATAACAACAAATAAGGAGTCTTCCATTCTTCATCCGAACAACGAGGCGTTCACCGGGTTTCAAACGCGGCCGCTGCCTCCGACACACACAGGTCGCCTATTCGGCCTTCCTTTTGGCCACGCCTCGCTTGATGGAGCCCGTGATGTCCAGCGGCCCAGTGGGACGACAGATGGTGAAGATGACATGACCCATCTTCTTGAATCATCATGGGTCAGTATACTTATTATACTTATATATTATATATATAGTTTATACTGTACATTTTATACCATAAGACCAATTCCAACATGGTGAGCCTGGCTGAATCTGGCACTTTTGTGTCTTTCTTCTTCCACTTCAGCACGACCGGAGCACGACCCCGAACCAACGCCCTCCGCGCCAAGCGCTCCGCGCCGGCACCGAGGTTCTCGGACATCGAGTGCCCGGCCGATTGCGTGGCGGCCATTTACAACGTCCTCTCCCGAAGGCAAAAGACGTATCGGTGCGGCGTTTTCCGCTCCGGGGGCCACTGCCATACAGGTTGCAGGATGGAGTTTTTAGACAATGACACACAATGAAATGGACATGAGTTGGGAAGAAACTTGTATGTGATGTGTCAGAGTTCTGCCGTGCTTCATGTATATTACTGTACATACATCTCTATACAGGTTTGCATTTGTTTATACATATGTATTTATTTGTTTGTTTGTTTGTCTATCTATCTATCTATCCATCTATCTATCTATCTATCTATCTATCTCCCTAGGGATCAAAGTAATTACCTTCTCAGAAGGTGATTGGAGACTATTTTGTGTTTCTAGGTTTGGTAGGTTTGTAGTCATACCTTCAGAAGGTGGCAGTGGATCCATAGGGACTGTCAGGCGCGGCCATGTGATCCGCGATCTACCCAAGCCTGGAAGCCCCATGTACTCGGCCGGCGGCCCAGGGGGGGTCCAACCCGGAGACAGTCTCCGGGAGTCTCGGGTGTGAGGATGAACATTGGTGTTGATAGGTGTGACTGGTCTCAAACGCTTTGCTGAACTTGCTACTTATGTATACGTATGTACAGTATAACCAAACAAAAATATATATATATATATAACTATATATAATGTAGTGACCAGATAGATGTTTTTGGAGGCCGCATTGTGAACTGCGGGGGTGCCTTCACGAGTTCCGCCATACATTGGCAGGTAGGGGGGCAATGAACCACCCATTGGTGAACGACATCAAATTTTGGGGTCCAATGATTTGGGTGGTGTGGCAAAGATGGCCAAGCGGTCATGGCAACCATCATGCCAAAGATTGCCAACAACAACTAGGAAAAAGGACCACCGTGCCGCAGCGCAGCGGCATGAACATGCCAAACTGACTGTTGTTGTTTGTTTGTTTGTTTGTTTGTTTGTTTGTTTGTTTGTTTGTTGTTGTTGCTTTTTTTGAAGAGCCCACAAACCCTGATCGATCAACCTGTATACCTGCGTTGTTGTGCTAAAAATCAGTAGGAGTAGTAGCTAGCAAGCAGGGATTTCACCATGAACATCCCTCAGATTCCTCGGTTCTGCGAATCGCTGGCTCCGTCGGTTTTGTCGGATTTTCCTGTTCACTCAGGTGCATGCCTACCTGCCAGCCATGGAATCCTTCGGCTTCGAAACGGACTTGAGAACGCACACCTCTGGTCAGGCGGAGATTGGAAGTTGGAGGGTAGATATTGGCTGATCCTTCAGTATGAGCTGAACACGTTTTTTTGGGCCTTCATGGTGCCTCCACCTTTATGGTTATTTCACTCTTCCCAATTACTTGCAGATCTTAGCTATAAGATGCTATAAGACCATACACCCCAATGTTCCGGTGGGTCCCCTGTTCCGGTTCGATCCCTTCCTTTCCGGTGACCCCGACCGCGCGGCGCACGTCTTAGACACCCCCGAACAAGCCCTTCACGTCAGACGTCAGGCGATGTGCCAAACCTTCTTCGATCACTGGGAGCATGTGCCGGGTGATCCCTTGGATCGATCGATTCTGCTGCTCCTTGGATGCATGATGAGCCATCGACTGGACGGGTATGCATGCGGTCCGTAGGGGATGGTTGGGTATGGTAGGGTGGGGGGGTCCTGGAGGTGGTTTTGCATGAAACCTTCCCATTTGATCAGATTGGATGACTGTGCTACAGCTACACTCAGGTCACGTATTGGGTGAAGTGAGCGGGCGTCAACTGCCGAATGTAGAATTATTGATGAATCTTGATTAATTAATGTTGATTGATTATATAAAATGACCTCCCCAAATTTGGATTGTAAAGCTTCTTCATGTGCTTGTTTGTCTTAAATCAACCGTCCACGGCCCTATTTTCATGCTTCGTTTTGAACAGAAATGAACACGCGTTTTTCCACCCGACCGTGTCCACGTGGCCCTAAGGCGTCCACTGGAACCAGCGCCAGCACCCCATTTGGCGCGGGAGTTCATGCTGAAGATGCGGCGGCGGAAGGGTTTGAGCGAGGCGCGACTCGGGTGGTTTGGGCGCTCGGGCGGTTTGGGCGCTTGGGTAGCGAAGCCCACCCACGAAAATGGCGGTGGACCTGTATTGGATTCACGGGCAACGCACCGGTTTTGAAGCAGGGTGAGGACGGAGAGTAGGACGGAGACACTGTAACAGTTGCCAGGAGACCGAACCTGAGGTACGCATCCGTGGATCCCAAGGGAGAGGGAAGAGCATGCCAAGCGAAGGGCTCTCGTTGCTCAAAAATTCTTGCCCGGGTGACTGAAGGTGTTGAATCCATGTTGCAAGATGTTGCAAGATCGTTAAGATGTCCAATTCCGAAACGGGAGAAATGGAAGAGGTGTGTAGCAGTGACATATGCATAACAGATAGATAGAGAGACAGATAGAAAGATAGAAAGATAGATCGATAGATAGATAGCCTCCATCAAACAGACTTGTTTTGTCAGTTCGACATTCTTTGGACATGATTCAGGGTCCATGAGACCAGAAACGCGTATAATATCCGTACTGACATGTGACAGGGCTTTTGTCGAGACGCTATGGGATCCACAGCATCTTCGCACTTTCTACTCACACAAAAGACCGCGAGTTCCTGCGTCTTGCACGCACGCACGCAAAAACGCTCGTGTTGCATGGTGTTTGTACCAGCCAAGTTCGGACCGTGGTCGCTGGAACCCCGGTGCGCTCTCCGTCAGGACGTGTCCGTCCACAAGTTCTTTGACGACCCGATGCTGTTGGAGCTGGCCAAGCAGGACGTGGGCACCGATGGCCCAGGGCACCGGGTCTGTTTCGAAGGTGTGAGAGCTTTGCACCATGTAGATCCATTTAGGCAGCCAGGAAATGGCGGTTTCAGGCTTCAGGTTGAGAGGCAAGTGTTTGGGTACAATGGGTATTTCCATCAGTGTCATTTCCTGTGGTTCTGGCCACAACAGAGGCCTGGGGCGACGTGTCGGCCTTAAGAGCTTCACGGTTTTGCAAGCGGGTTTCATTGGTGCCAGACCAAGCCCTCAGCATGCAACAGACCAGACTCTTCCAATCTCAGAAGTACTAGGTTTGCTTGTAGCATGGAATCCATGGTATATGTATATGGTCGTCAGTTTACGTGTTTTTTATTAGTAGTATTTCTTTATACAGTACATTTACATATATTTACAAACTCCATACCTCCAGACATATTGAGTGAATGGAAACTGAATCAAGATCAACCCCACTGAGCCCAAAATGTTTAATCTCAGATGTCAACGGATTGTTTCAACTATTCCATACAAACAAATATAATGCACAAAATCTGATCATATCTGATCAATTGAAGCCACATTTAGAAAAGACATACAGCGATCAATGGATCACACTCCACATCACAAGTTGTCTCAGCCAGGACGCTGAGCTGAGCTCCTACTTCTGAGGACGCAGCGACGGGCGAGACCGACGTGCGAGACAAGCACACGGGGAGAGACGACGGGACGTGTACCGTAGATCAATGAGACGTCGATTTGTGACACGACTACGGTGGACATAGCTGATCAGCATCCAAATCCAGGGAGATCAATTGATACAACACAAAAGATCATAAAAAGTACAAAATACCTATATATAGATCTTCAGTCCGGCACTTTTACAGGGTCCGGCATTGGACCAGGTATGGTTGCACTTTGGATGTCATAGACCTGCATAGAACATGTTCTGGGTGGGATCCCTGAGTCTCATCTTATGGGCCCAAGACGAGCAGCCGAGAACGAAAAAGGCTGCAGCTGTGTGTTTTTGAAGCGAACGACGTGTGTTTCGTGATGTTTTCTCCGGTTCAGAAATTCTTCCCCATGTTGAGGTAAATCCGGAAGAAAGATCCCAGTACAAGCCTACAAGTAGAATCTAGTAGATAGCTACAATAAGAATACATGAGTTGCTTGATGATCTTGATGATGCGCAAGAGTTCTGTTCATTGTCACATGAAGTAAATAGTGCTTGTCTAATATTGTGTAGCTGGAAAATGGTGAGTTGCACGTGTTGGGGCAGACAGTGCTTAGGACCTTTGGATTTTTGTCCATATTGTTGTAAATAAAGAAAGGTGTTCACAGTAAAGTCATACCACAAGTTATACTAGTGACAATCCAATCAGGCATTCCCAGCAAAGAGCCGTGGTGAATGTGGAGGCTTGATTTTCAAGCTGTAGGATGTTTTGCGTTAAAGCTTGGCTCTCAGCATAGAAGCGATCCAATGGCCCCACACGGAGTTGCAGAACCCAAAAGCTCTGAAGCGTCACAAATCTTTGTGTTTGTGCTTGTCATTTGATGGCCTTCACACCATAAATTTCTTGGACATCTTTGGCTTACCTGTAGCAAAGCAGGCACCAAGCGCTGACCCTCGCCATGGCCCTGCAACTCGCTTTCTGCTTCTTTGGTGTAGCGACCGCCCAGCGTTGGCTGGTCCCCATCTCACATGAGCACCACAAGCCGACGGTGGACACCAGTGTGTTGGGCAATTTGAAGGAGACCAAAGTCCTAGAGAAGACGCTCGGCTCAAAGTACATCCGCTGAAAGATGCGACCGATCTTGCAAGAACGAAAGACGCCAACAAAAACAATGACTCGGCGACTCGATGAAGGCATCGCCATGGAAGGTTCGAACAAACTCGAGTTTGAGTCGATCTGCCTCGTCATGCCTGGCCATTGCCTCGTGCGGCTCATTTGTCTGGGCCTGGTTGGTTCGGCGTCGAGCTGACCACCTCTTTGCCACAAACGGTTCTTTTCTGTTTTCTCAGAGAAAAAAGCGTGTCTTGTGGCCGAACCCGAAACCAAAAGGACACCTGTGCTGGAAACTCCGAAGAAGTGAAATCACTCCGAAGAAGTGAAACCCCCGTAGACGATCCGTCCGGACCGTACCGAAGAATCGGCCGTAGGTCCGGTGTCCGGTTTCCAACTGACAACGAAGGTCGTTTAAATTTAATTGTGGATCATTGCTTCATGTATACCCCACTGTGGAGAACAATGCCTTTGTGACGACAACAAGTATTAATTGGTAAGATCTAGTGCAGTAGGAGTCGAGGTTACAAGTGAATTTCCTGCCTCAGGAAACAACTGGATCTCAGCATCACTCGTTCTCATGCGTTGGTGGCACAGCTGGAGGTTGGGACACCCGCGCAGAAGATGTCATGTCTTTTGGTCGCTCGGCGAGTTACTAGGTGCATGTAAGGCGTTGAGTTTTTGGAAACCAATGCCCACAAACAATTCGTGACACCGACTGACCAATGCTGCCCATGAAATAACCTCCAACTGTATTGGTTTCCTTGAACTCGCCATTGAAGACACATCGTGGACATGGCACCAGCAACTGACCTTCCAAACGTCCAGTTTGCACCCCGGTGTATACCCGTTTGTACCGAGAATGTTCAAACACCCAGCAGGTGTAACTACTGGGACTGAGTCGAAGTGGCTAAGTCTAAATGACCCTTCCCGCGGTGGCGCCCCTGACTTTGTTTTCCGTGTGACCCCACAGTCGCCCCTGCTCAGTGCTAAGCTGTGGGTACATAATAGTCCAGGTTGATTGGTCCCCTCTGGTCAATACGCAGAGTCACATCTTTTTACACAGCCGTTCGACGGGGTCTTCTCTTGAGAGATCACTGAGCCCTTTTGTTCCTCCGGAGGGCGCAGGCTGTGGTGTGTTGAGCCTCGTGTGCGTCGGCGGTTCGCCTCGTGGACACCGAGGACACGGGCAGTGCAGATTTGTGGATCCCATCAAAGCGCTGCAAGAGTTGCGAGAGCCTTGACTCGACGATCGAGTTGTGAGAGCCGGATCTGTTGAGTTGGAAGCGCTGCCGCCCGTCCCGCCCCAGACAGAACGAAGGCTTTGGGGGACGACGCAGAGATACGCAGAGCGATCGTCACTGGACGATTTTTCTGGTTTCCTGGGTCAGGTGGAGAAGCGGTACACTTTTTAACTTAACTGTTTGGGGAAAGTGTTGGTGGATCATGTGGATCAGATCTGACCAGGTCTGATTGGATCCTACGTGTGTTTTCCAAAGAGACATGGAACGATGTGTAGCAACTGCCTGCCTCGGACCCCATTGGACCAGTCGACCCGATGAGGACTGAGCACCTCTTCCATGCGGACCGTTCGAGCACCTTTAGCCCCGAACTGGTGAAGACGCTCTCTGGGCACCAAGCACCAGTGCCCGTGCACCTGAGCTATGGCACAGGTGCCTTAGGGATCAAACGAAGAAGGGAGGAAGAAGGGAGAGGGTACTGTTCATATTTAACCTTAAGACTCAAGACCCAATATGGCTCAATAAGTGGCTCAATAATTATTAGAAGATCATCTCAATTGTCAATTCAGAACTCAACGAACAAGAATAAGACAAGCTGTTTATAGAATATGATGCCACGGACCGACTTAAATATTATACCGACATGTACCGTACCGACAGGGCTCCAGTCGTACCTTCTGAGCAGGCGGCCTTTTCCCTTGCTTCGGTTGAGTCGAACGGTGACGCGCTCGCGATATCGTGATATCGTGACACATCCAGGTGATATCGTTGGCTACAAGGTGGAGGATACCGTTCTGTTTGGAGGAGCTGAAATTAAGTTCTTGGGCGGCACTCAGTCACATTCAGGGACGGAAGTTCCGACCGCGTCTATAAGGATATCGTCGATATCGTGCTTCGCATCTGAACGAGATCGAAGAGGTCCAGAGGTTGTGATCAATCGGCTTTTTGGAGCGTGTGTGCCTTCTTTCTTGTTCAAACGTTTTGTTTAGATCGTTTTAGTGGGCCTGCTATTCACGGATCATGGAACTTTCTAAGTCTGTTCAAAGCGATATAGGTGGAATGCATTAAAACCGTTCATTATCGGACGTCGCGCTTTTCCTGACTCTTTGTGGTTTGTGTTGTTTGCAAGGAATCAAAGCTTCATTATCGTGGAAGATGCGCAGCTGCCTCGACAGCGCGGCTGGGATGGCATTTGCGGCTTAGGTTGGAAGGGCATCGCCCAGCTGCTTGGAACAAAGGTGAGGTGAGTGAATGGGACGGATAGGGGTGCGTCGTTCTAAACAGAATCATCTAATAATCTAAATGTCACGAATGTCATAGTTTCGTTTAGTTTGGGTCAAGATGTAGAGATGGCTTAACATGCTTTAACATATAGGGCTGTGAGTATGACAGTCACCTGGCAAAATGCATGCGATGCGATTCACCGGTGCTCCCCGTCGGACCGGGACCATCCGGCGCTCCCGGAGATCAAGGTTGGAGAAGCCCCTCTACGAGCGGCTTCAGGATCAGGGCCGCAAGGTGGGAGATGGGATACGTCGAGTGGAACCCGATTTTTCGAGTCGATTTGCCCTAGTTAAACATGTACAAAAACAAACATGCACACATAGCTTTCACCATGGACATTTCCTGTTTGAGGGACCTTAACCATTTGCTAACAATTGGACTTTAATTCGAACTCATAGATCTGAAGTTTTGCCCAACGTTTTATCAACGTTTTCATGGTTCGCAGGCGATCTTCTCCTTCGTCCCAGAGGGCACTTCATCGGCTCATATGGTCTTGGGACAGGTGCCGCACTACGCAGTGAAGCCAGGCACTTTGGTTTCCTGGCTGTGCACATCAATGTTTGTCACCCGGGTCACCCCTGGTGTGGGCCGGGGAAGTCGGCTCATATGCTGTCATAAGTTTCCCCAGTTCTTGTTGTCCACACACTTGAGAAGAAGCTCGCAAGCCGTTACAGTTACCACAATCGACCTTGGCCCGTGGCTCGTGATGGTTTAAGATTGGGTGAGACCATGACCCGGTCACCACCCGCGACAGTTGTTCAAAAGTTCACAAAACAATTGGGTTGTATGATCAAAACCGGTTGGAACGTATAGGTTTAAGATCACCAACAGAGGTTGAAGAACCCCAGAGACTATCCCATAGGTTCCCAGGTCGGTGATGGGTCCTACCCAGGTGACCTTTGTTGGCATGTCAGATCCATCCAGTGGTCCATAAATCACTTAAGCGAAACGTTGATCCGAATGCAAGGTCTGGACCGATGCTGAACCTTTGGAACGAGGCCTCCCACTCGTTTGCCCGGACGAAGGACGACGTGTCTGTCCAGGGATGGTGTTCCCCCAAAGACAAGGCCACGACCACGACATCCAAAGACAAGGCCACGACGACCCAGTTCGGGTGGTTCTGTTTGACTCCCCTGGTGACCCTGTATCTTCCACTCACCGGTTCCCTCGGTGCTGGAGCTTCGGAGCGCTCGGGAGTAGACCGGACACCGTCGCCGCATCGAAGTTCAGACCGTGTCATGAAGGGAGGACCCAAACACCCGTCGGGTATTTAGATATTATCAATTACCAGCACCTTCCAACAGGTTTCCTCTGGAGGCTTTTGTAGACTTAAAAGTCGCAGGTGGTGACCTGTTGGAAGGTCCTGGTATATTTATCATATTTACATACATTGGGGGTGGTTTTACGGGGCAATGTATACTTGCGAGAACGTGGAGTGTTTGGCGGATGGTCGAGGGCGATTCGGTCGGTGTCTTGGGGGGGGGGCCCGGGGCTTGAGGTTCGTCCGAATAGAGGCCCAGGTGCTACGTCCCAAAGCATAATAAGACTATAATTTGGGTCTATCCTATTGCCTGTAACAGTCAGTAAACAATTTACAACCTTTGAAAAAGGCCTGAAACTAGCCATCATCATCCACTGGGCCCTGGAAATAGAATAGACCCAAACTATAATAAGTCTTTCAGTCTTCCATCCATCAAGGTCAAGAACCTTCCCGGATTCTTGGCGCAAGAGACTCTCAAAGCTTTCCCGGATTCTCAGATGTCAACACCGACAGGCTGGGATCGCCTCTCAGTCGCCAGGCCATGATGGGCGGAGCTTCTGGGTGGCCCGTGGGGGCATTGCGGTGCACAAGCAGACACCGCACAAAGCGCGCTTTCTGGTGGACACAGGCGTTGATACAGGGGCGCGTTGAGTGTCTAAGGTGGGGATGTGGGGTGTCGAAGCAAGATAGGGTTTTGGATGTTCCAGGGGCTGATAAAAGGATGGAAGTGCTATCGAAGGCCTCGCGGCCAGTGGTTTTGAAAGCAACCGAGACAACAAAAACTACACGGGCTTGGCCCAGGCACTCGCACCTGAGGAGGGCAACATGAAAGAACATGGAAGCAATAACTGTACAGGATAGAATAGATTCGACTGGTGGGGAAATCTTACATAATACTGTATATAGATGATAACAAATGATGGAATGATGATCAAATGATGTTATAGATGATGGTGGGATAGCCTGGATTTCTGAAGTGGTTCGGATACTTTTCCCTGGAGTGAAACAGATTAGCACGTTTGGTCGGTGATGCAACACCGCTTACGCTGTCGGTCCAGCATCATGGAACTGTCCCCTCCCCTAGTGTCCGAGATCAAAGGGTCATCCATGGTCATCCCCTCCGCCAATGATGAACATCCATAGGTGAACTTCATCAGTGCATCTTCAGCAGATGTCAATTATTTTTACAAACCAAGTCTCACAACCTTACATCTCCCAGTCTCCAAGCTGCAGCTTGGAATTGTCTCCAATGAGGTACGGAACCGTTCGCAGGTCGGTTCCGAGCCTCTTGAGTACCTGCAGGAACCAACCAAGTCCTTCTGGCACCACGGCACTTGTACATGAGCATCATGCGCTCGGTGCTCCCACAGGAGAAGTGTCCCGGCCGGGTCCGGCGCGGGGTCCTTAACAGAGGTCCCAAAACACAGGGTCGTCTGACGCTTTAGACTTCAACAGCGCAAAAACACGACGGCTGTGTGTGTTTTGGCGACTTGGGAGTTCAACGAAGGAACGAAAACGGGCATCCCGGCATCCCCTTATATACTAGTATTAGGGGTTGCATTTGTCCTATTATGCCCTTTTACCTAGACAGTCAGTAAACAATTGTAACTATTTCTTTTAGAAAGAGGGAGAGGCCTGCAACCTAACCATAATCTTCGACCGTTACAGGGAACAGGACGGGATATACTCAAATTAGGGGTGTCTTTGTATGGGACATAGAGCCCTCAAAAACCATTGGTTGGGGATCTCCCTATTTGAGCTACACAATCTTAAGGGGATGGTTCAAAACCTGGAGTCCTGCTCCATGTAACTTGACCTTCCAGGTCCATTGGTTGGTAGCCTGGTGCCATGACCCACAGCCATAATATATTATATATGCGTAGCCGTATGAGTACGGAGCTTGGATACTCCATTTTCGGTTCTGCGAGACCAACGTGAGTGGCGAGGAGATGAGGTATTGCTTGAGGCAAGTGTTGTTGCGTGTTGTTGGTGTTCATTCTGTTAAGTTTTGGTGTTGGAGGGCAGCAGCCGCATTTGGACATTTGTGAGTTCCTTGCTCCGAGCAAGCTGTTGATTGAAGCAACACGAGGTCCACACAAAGAAGCAACACTCGTACTCTTTAGTTGGTCCGCAAGCTGCGTCGCAAAAGCGTCGCACTTGATCTGAGGTTTAATGAGCTTTGTGGTATAGATGAGATGGCTGGAGGAGCATTGAACTATGTTGGACAATTCTTCACATTGGATACTGTTCACTATGTTTCTGGCGACTAAATGAAAAGGTAAAGGTATTATTAATTCATCTTGACCTAAACCATTTACAGGTTCACTTTTAAGACCTAACGTGGCCCGTATTCATGCGAAAAGTGTCCAGGACAAGAACACCTCCTTAGTCTTCGAGGGAGATAGCGGAGACAACTGCCTTGCGTTCCTTCTCAATGGAACATGTTTAGAGACATTGTTTGGACTTCTTCCCTCGGATCATGAGATATCATGAGCGCCGCAATTTATAGGGCGCTCCTCCGGCCTTGAAACGCTGTGGAATCATCTCGCCTTCCCTGTCAGGAGCCGTCTTCTGCGACTGCTCCATCGTGGCACACTCCCATGATCTGCCGCCGCTCAAGATCTTCCTGGCAGACCGGGCCTTTGAGCTCCCCATCGGGGAGATGTTCAGCCGGATCCCCACGAAGGACGGCCGAGGCGGGTCCGCCGGGCGGGTCAAGAGACGTGCAGACCGGTGTGCAGAGACGTGTTTGGTGGCAAGTCGGGTATTTGCCGATGGGCATATGGTACGGATTGCGCAGATGAATGCAGATGATTCAGAACTATATGGATGATGAATTAGGACTATGATGATACAGGACGATTTGGAATTGGTGAAATTGGGTGGGACTGGGGTATGTCTCTTAACCACCTGAGGTGCCTTAATATTGCTCGCCAGAAAATTCCATGGTGAAAAATCAGGGATTGATCAATTAGAGGCACCACAAAGTGAACATCAGAACATCATGTTTGAAGTTCTTTTGAGGAACTTCTTTATTTAGAAGTGTCCACTAGAGGTTCCTTAAAGCTGAAAATCCCATCGAATTTCTTCATGCCTGGAATCTGGGTCGGTCTGGAAACCTGCTAATTAGCTGGTGGGAAGGGGTGTCCATCAACCATAATGAACCACTCACTTTGTTTTGGCCTTGAAGACCAACACACACAAAAAAAAGAGGCCTGGTTGAAATTCCGTCCTGGAGCTGATATGGATTTTCACTGTCAGGGTTGGGAGATCGCTCAGAAAGCCGACATTGCTTTTTACCAGAGGGTCACTTTGGGGCACATCTTGATTCCGCATGATTCTGAGCTTCAGGCTACAATGACGAGGTCGCACATTTCTCCTGTGTTCAAAAAGATGCTAGGCTCAGTATGTCAGTCTAGTGAACGCTGGACCACAGATTTCATACCATTTCCATCCATTTCCTTCTTAAGCCCTCCATCATCACGGCTTTGTCATGCTTTGTCATGCTTTGTCCATGCCCATCATCTCTTCTTCGCTTCGACTCGGCCCGACTTAGGGGAGGCATGCCTCTTGGCCGTGCAGCCCAACAACTTGAACGTGGAAGCCAGCGGCTCAATGCCCATGCCCTTGCCCTTCGGAGGTCTTGGAGGTCGGTAGGTTGGTCGGTCAAACGCCGCGTTTACGACAAAAAGCACTCGGGCTCGGGCGCCCTGCTGTTCGTTCCTTTTTCTTCCGAAGCGTTGCGAAGCAAAGGATGTGTTCCGCTCAAGGCGGTGAGCGGATGCTTTTGGGATGCTTTTGGATGGTTTTTGGCTCCATGGAGCCATCTGTGTTCCAATGACAATCACGTTTGGTTTAAAAGGCACTTCACTGATGTTGAAATCTCCTCACCATGGACTTCGCACTCGTCTTTTTCAATGGAGTTATATATCACCGACAGTACTGACTCGCTTCAAGTCAAGTTAAGTCGCAGGACTTCTTCCAAAGATGCCTGGCTTCAACCTTCCCTTCGATCTTCCCGACCTCTTGGGCGGTGGTCTGCCTGGCTTCGGCCACAGCGGCTCCGGCCTGGGCCACGGACCGAGCCCAGCCGCGAGCGGACTGAGCACACCCGGACCGAGCGCATCGGGCGCTGCGTCCTCGCCCTTTGGAGCGGGGTTCCCGGGCTTCGATGGGAAGTTCCCGGGCTTTGATGGGAAGCCCTTTGGTTTGGGTGACTTGGTTTGGGATTAGTTTCAGGATGTTTCAGGTTATATAACATCACATACAACCCATTGTTATATTCATATACAATGCCAACACACGGATCAATAAACGGCCCCCTCCCTCCCCGCTTCAAGGTCAACAGGGTTTGAGATTGAAAGTGTTGGAGACCACATCCCCTTAATAAAGGTGATGACCTTATGATGGATGATGGTTGATTGGATTCTGTGTGAACACTGAGGCCTGTGTGAGGGGTACCCTTTGTGAGCTTGAAAACGTTAAGAGTTTAAGATAGAGTTTTAATGGGGGAAAATGAACGCATTTTGCCAGAGAGTTTTCTAGGGGATTGTGGACCAAAGCTTGCTGGGGAGAACATTCGCAGCTTAGATTGCAGCTTTAAACAATATACTAATGAACTATATATTGTTTTATTTCTGGGGACAGCTGGGCTTGATTAATAAGGGAGGTTTCTGCCGAGAAACAAAATATTAGGGTGATGGAAATGTGGAATTCAGGTTTCAAATTGGTGTAGTATTGAGGGCTCGAGCTGGGCTTGATTATTAGGTGCGCATGACATGCTTTTTTTCCAATGAATAAGTGGTGGATAATGGTGGATACTTGGTTTGGGTTCAAAAGTTTCAGGTCACATAACTCATGTTTGTCTATAAAGAATAAGTGGTGGATGAGTGGTTCATGACTTGCTGCCAGCTGGGGCCTTCTGGGAGGCCTTGGAAGTTCTGGGAAAGGGTGTTGGTTCATAATCACCTGAGAGGTTGGCAGATTCTTGCACCCAACATGGCTCCAAGGATCAAGATACCAAACCGATCCAACTAGATGTTCACAGGCACCCCTTGCCCTGACGGAAGCATTGTGCAGAGAGGATGGTTGTTCTCCCACCTTGTTTCCTGGGTCCAACATGCGTCGTTCCACCACGTGCCACCATCGATCATGGTCAAGATGCTTCAATACCAAACAACTTGCTGTGGCCCTGTTTTGTAGATGCCCCACCAACCACTTATGATGGCAGTATTTTGTGTTGTGATGTGATGTATATTTCTCGCGCGAGGTATCGGAAAGCTGGGCAAGGGCGTCCTGTCCGAACAGGTGAGGGAGGAGATCCGCACGCGGCCTGATGGCACCGTGTGCAAGCGCCTGGGCCGTGATTGGGGAGCCTTGAGGGCCATGGGGGGGGCCTGAAGCCAGCGGGACAAAACTGGAGGGTGGGCCCCCACGTTGAGCATCCCGGAAAGAAGGGTCGGGGGATGTGGTAAACAGGTTATATTATACATATAACGTTGGTTGCAAGTGCCAGCGTCACGACTGTACCCGGCATGCAATGAGCAATATATACGTTGGGGGTTGTACCTCGGTTTGACAGTCCAATGTTATGCGATGGTGCTAGCGGGTGGACTGATGTGGACTTCAGATGAGCAGCTACTTGTAGGCATAGTCGCTAGCGGGTGGACTGAGGTCCAGGCCTCATGTCATGTGCTCCTGAAGTCTCTAGTTTCTCATGTCATGTGGCTTGGAAACGCAAGGATTTGGAGCCCGGCCATGGATTGCGTATTTGCGTACGACCGTTTCACGCAAAACGGCTGGGACCGGCCATTCCTTTCGACTCAGCCGTGGCCGTTCCCTCTAGGTACATCACCGTCACAGAGAACGGCCACGTGAAGAGCCGATGCTCGGGTGGGGGAGATGAAATGGAGAGGCTCAATGGGCGAAATGGGGCGTCCTCAAACTCCCAAGTTCGATCAAATCGAAATAGACAACATAACAAACACAGTTAATGTATGTTAATGTAGACTCTTTGATGAATAAAGCACCCAATTGTAAATGGAATATCCTCTTCATATGGGGGTTTTAATCCAAGAGTCTACATTAAACAGTTAAACAATGTTAAACACCTTTCAAACTCTTTCAATCATTTGACTTTAGTTGAATCAATTAAGATGAATTGGGGTTTAATGGAAGACGCCACAAGACTCAGTGATGATGGAAGATGAAGTCATCCGAAATGAAGTCATCGGACGGTCTCCAAAAGGGACTGGTTAGAAGGTTTCGTTTCGGTCATGGTCTTTCCCAATTCATCGCTTGTTCTCACTCAAAGCATTGATGTTCATCGCTTTTTTCGTGGAAAAACCGTATGAGGCTAGATGCTGGGGCAAACCCCCGCGTGTGTTGGTGTTTGAGTGGTTACGAGCCTCCCTCGCTCCGGGCACGGTATTGAGGACGAGAAGATTGTGGCAAACCCGGTAGTGACGTTCGTAGGTTGCAGCTGGTGGTGCCCATGGAAGCTCAGACAGCAGGGAGCAGGTTACCCGCTGAGAGTTGCACTTGATGATTGCAGATCTAGAATGGTCTAGACTCACATTGAGACATGGACCATCCTGCGCTGTTTTGAGTGGATTGCTTTGCTGGTGAAGGGGAAATGTTCTTGACCCCCACGTGTACTTTCCCAGGTTCAAAGAGAGATCAGGTTTAGAGACCTCATTAAGGCCTGGTGTCCTGACTGATTGAATGTGTCTCATATGCGGATGCTTGCAGATGACCGACATTAGATGATGGTTGCCGTTTTGAGTCATTCTTCTAAAGAGTCAATACCACCAGTGAGTGATTAGTCCCATGTCGTCATCATGGGGAACTATACATCCTCCTTTTCATCAGGTATGTCAGAGTTCACCCCATGGATGGCAAGAGTGCTGGACCCAAGCTGATTGTCCCAAATGCCTCTTCCAGCTCGCTTCATTGGTTTCTTTCACTGCTCAGGGAGGTATCCTGGAAATTCCATTGGATCCCGCCGGAGAGGAGGAGCCAGCAGATGATGCTTGGGACTGTAAGACCCACCAGCATCCCTCAACCTGGGATGCCCTTTGAGTTTGACCTGGATGAGCCATGAGGGACCCAGAAGTGGATCCACTTGGATGGGCCAAGGGTGGATCCTAATGGAAGGGAGATCCAGATTCTGGTTTGGGAAGACTGGGACATGGTTCGATCCAGCGAGAAGATCAGCATCAAAGTATATGAATTAAACGCATCCTGCAATGTCCAGTAGGCACCATACTGCAAACGACGAGTTGGCCAAGAAGCAACTCCAAGACGAAAGGACAAACCCACAGACCAAGATCCACAAAGCTTAGTTTTCATCTCAGCCAACTAAGGATTTGTGGATCTTGGGAGGTATGTTCTTGGAGAGGTTTGTCGTCTCCTTCGACTTTGACCAGGGTCGCATGGGCTTTGCCGAGCCGGTGGGAAAGACTCAGGCGCCGCTCGACCGCCGCAGGGGTCCCCTCGACCGCTCCCGGTTTGGGCGGTGGAATCGGAGGGCACAATGGTCCGCCGTGTGGAGACTGCTGGAGGGGACGCGAATCCACATGAACCCCGGTCAAGAATACATCCAAATACTGGATGGTTGGGGGATGATCCTGATCCTGTCAAGCAACCATGATGCTTTTTGTTCTACATGAGATCCATTTTCTGAAACCCCACTCTCAGCACCTCGGTCTCCATGCTGTCAGAGCGCCACAAGCAGGACCTGGACACCATCGGCATGGCCCTGCGGCTCCGGGGCATGGCCTCGGAGACCCGCTGGCAAGAGCAGCTGGGCAGATGTCGCGACACCATGGGACTGCCATATATGCCGATCAATTGACCCCCAGTCAACCACCCCAACTGATCGGCATATATATGGCAGTCCCATTATTAGTCGTGTTTGGGTATATTACTGCAGGTGGGTACCAGGAAGACTCCAGAGTCTCGCTCTCCGTCCTGTTCCGATGCCCGGAAGAACGCCAAACCCGGAAGACAGAACACCGGAACCGGCATCCATCCGAAGAACCGGAGCAAACCGCCGCAGGATTTGAATCTGATCCGGGGATCCTGGCCATGTAAACAAAAAGAAACACACCGAAAAGCAGCACCCAATGACAGATCCACGGATCCGCAGGCACCAGGTGCCACCCTGAGGTCCACCAGTGTGTCCGATCTTCACCTGTTGGCACGGTCGTCCACTCGTTGGCAATGTTCCATGACCCCTCCCGCAAACTGAGGTCAATGGGAAAGTTCGCAGCAGGCAAGCCTTGGAACATTCCGTGAACGATTCGGTCGTGGGTTGAAGGATTCTCGTTTGCTCGCGCGCGATGATTTACACAGAACAGGGCGACCTGTTCAGTGCTTTTTTTGCGATCATTCATGTGCAGCCGAGATTAGATTCACAAAATTGGCAGGCAGGGTGAAAAGCGTGGTCCAAAGTCGACCTCTACCCCACGAAAGTCAACAAAAAATAGTACTATATACTTGAGGAGATCATGTACCATGGAGCCTTTGGGTTTCCAATACTTCACGCCTTAGATCGGTTTCGGGTGTCATTGGCACTCCGGTGTCGTTCGGCACGTGGCATGTGTAAATTCCAAGCGTTTAGGCGCAGAAAGACGGGGCAGATAGAAGGGACATCAAGGGAACATATACCACCTGCAGCCCGAACATGGCCGCTACGTGATATTATGTGACGGTGTGGGCCTTTCAATTGCTTGAAACTAATTGAACATCATTCAAGGTTTGTGGAAGAAGCCATTTGTTTGGAATGGTTTGGGAAGACTGATGAGACTAGGACCTCAAGCAGCTAAGTTCCACACCAAAACTGGCGCACTCGCAGCAATCCAGCCGTGCAGCATCTCCAGTGGATTGCTTTGCGTGAGGCGTGCTGCTTTGCAGCTTGTTGGTCTCAGTGGTCTATGCCACCGTGCGCGTGAAGAGGATGGCTCGCGAGGAGCACTTGGTCGAGCACATGAGAGTGGAAGTGGCCGAAGAGGAGTGCCTTGGAGCTTTGAACCAGTGGTGGATCCCTCAGTCCAAGTTACACACACAGTTTGACCAAGTCTTTAGCCACTCACAGCCAACTGAATTATTGATTATAGGTCTACAGTGTACAGTTGTCTACAGTTGTACTCTTGTCTTCATGATCTGTTTTTTGTGTTTGGGGCCGGGCTTCGGTCAAGCAGCGTGATTTGACTCGACGTAGCTTCGCAAACACCAGTGCTACGCACGGAGCTTCGGGGGCCGCGTCGACGTGCCGAGGACGGAGGGAACTTGGGACTGGAAAACAGGTCGAGGCCGCTGAGGCCCAACAGGTCTGGAAGCGCAGAAACTGCACTGCACCAGGTGAGCAACGTCATAAACCTCTATGAAAGAATTTAGGTAGGACTTAAGATTATGAATCTGTGCGAAAGGAAAACTGCAGTTGGGGAAAGCTTGGCGAAAGGTTTGGAGAAAGGCTCTGATTTTTTGATGAATGGATTTTGTTGCGAAAGGGTTGGCGAAGAGGTTTTCAGTACAAAGCATGTCATCCAAAGATTCATGATAACCAGGCGAAAGGTTGGCGAAAGGTTCGCGAAGATGTGGCGAAAGCAGTGGTTGCAGATTAGGAATGATTCCCCTTTGCTGATACATGCTGATACTTTTCTTAGATGTAAGTAGCAGAAACTCGGCGAAAGGGTTAGCTAAAGAGGTTGTCGGGTGAAGTGGGTCGGCGAAAGCAAAACATGCAGCCGCGAAAGAGTTGCGAAGGGATTGGCGAAAGGTTGTTATAATCTTAATAAAAGTTCCGGATGGTTTTTGACACCGCTCAGGTGACTGTTCGAAGAAGGAAGAACAAGGCCGTGCAGGAAGTCTGGCTGATGTGCACAGTAGCTTGGCCCTGGTGAATCTGAGGTAAACGGAGGTTTCATTTGTCAAACCCAAAAAGGCGCGACATAAGTTGACAATCTTCTCCGACCTTTTGCTTTTGAATGCACATCCAATGACAAAACTAGCGGCGTCCTCAGATTCACAGGGCCCCCCCTGTACAGATGCGTTAAAGCTCCCGGGCCCCAGAAATTGCCGGCCGCGAGGAGCAGAAATTGGCAACAGACCAACCCCCTCAAAGACGACCCCTGAAAGAATCCGAAACGACGCCACGGCGCGCTGGGCTGGCGCCTGCAAGACAACCCAAATCTGAATCCCATCGCCTGCCATGGGATTTGCGTAGTGATGCGCAGTGTATCAGGTAAGAATCAGTATGTGTGTGTGCGTGTGTGGCATGTACGCGGACTCACTGAGAAGGGCTCAAAACATGAGAAGCGCTGAAGTTGAAGCCATACAAAAAACTCCGGCACTGATGGGCACCTCTGAAAAAGATCATTCATCCTGAAAGTCGAGTTGTTGACCAACCAACCATCCACCCATGCCCTGCTTCGTTCATCCTGCCAACCCTTAGCCCGACCCCGGGGCTCCGCTCATTGGGAAGCGACGAAGCCCCACGGACCGGCGGACCGGGCTCAAACCGGGAAGACGCGGGCTGCGCCACCAATAGAGGGATGGCAAGCAGCCTGGCGGCACGTGGTTACGGCGCGTACTGGGAAGGCTGGTTACGGTGGTGACGGTGGTATGCGGCATCGCTGGTTTGTTGGAAGTAAGTAGAACCCAAAAGTGTCGAGAGGCATCATTCCATTATGGATGGTTCTACTCCGCCCTGGAAACCCATGTGGAAGAGGGTGAACTTCCAGGCCCAGGAATGACCGATCATAGTGCCGATCATTTGCCAGTGCCAGAGTGAAACTGTATCATCCAAATTGCTGGTAGTGTCTCAAAAGGTCGAGGCAATAGGATAGGGAAGTTGTTCCCTGACTCTTGGTTCAAGGGAAAGACTAACGCAGACACACACACCACAGATTGGGGGCTCACCTACGACACAACCAAATTGGTAGGGGAATGTAGGGGATGCCTACCTTGCGACACAACCAAAGCCAATCATCCCATGACAACTTTTGCAGAATCCAGGCAAAGGACTGGATTATTGTGCCACCTTCGGGTGTCCAACGGAATCTTGGCTATGGGCACAACAACAACAACAACAACAACAACAACAACAAGGGACCTTGCATATCACAGCCTGGCACCACCAGTGAATTAACATGAAAGGTGTGTTGCTTTGAGATGTAGACTGTAGACAGGATGCTGAGTCTTAGCATGCAGTGGAGCACTACCGCTTTCAATGGTCCAACAACCGTTCACCAATATCAGTGCGAAAAAAACACATCAACGTGCCTAGGCCAGAACATCCTGAAGCGCACCGTTTACGTTGGTGGCCTTGATGAGCAGGCAGTTTGTTGATGAACATCGTTTCAGATGTGGTGGAATGTGGTGAACTGGTGTGGTCCGGAGTTGGCACCCCCAAATCAGGGTGTATCGGCCCGCAAAAGAAGGACATCTTAGGACACTCTAAGTTACATGCTGTAGACAAGCGATGCTCGAAGTGTCTTGAAAACAGCACCAAACCCAAGTGCATTGCGTCAACCTTGCAAGGCTACCTTGCTATTAATTCGTCTCAATTTGTAACACAATTATCGAGAAGATATTGAGATGTGTGTAACATAAATTCAGATATTCATTCGTGTCAATCCCAGTCTCTTGTGGGACTCGACTTTCCTGGGTGCTGGGACGACTCCAATCCAATCTCATCCGCTGCTGGCATCGTTTCGGCGGGACGAGCCGGCCAGGTCGACCGGAAGGTTTTGGAAGAAGCCTTTGTGAGATTTGGAGAGCTCAAAACGGCCCGGTGCACCTAGCGAGAGGTGAGAGAGTCTCTGACAAGCCCCACGCCCCAGGCAATGAACTGGTCGACAGTCCAGTTTCGTCAAGCTATAGTCAATCTATATCTTAGATGCCTGCAAAGAGAGAGAGAGAGAGAGCTTCTGTGTAGTAGTTGAGTGTAAGCGCGGTGTAAACCAGTTACCTACATCACAGATCATCACAGATGTGACCGTACACATTGATCTCATATCATATTTGTTATGTTAATGTGTGTTGTTTTGAGTTGTTTGCTTCTTTTCCGTGAGACCACTGCGCATGTGCCATCCTCACTGCGTCCTTCAGTGGCGATTGTTTTGCTCAGCCAAGGTCGAGATTCCTTTAGACTTGAAGACTGGTAAGTCGGGGTCCCGGTGCAAATGTATTACGGAAGAGTTGTGGCCATGTGGTTGGTGTCCGACAGTCATCAGGTGACCTTTTTGTTGACCCGTTTTCGCCTGACCTAAAAATACTTGCCATCATCACCCCTTGAGATTTCCGAGGCATAATATGGCATCCAGATAATATCAGATAACTAAGTGAGTATACATTATACTTGTACCAGGAGTCAGATGTCGGTGTGGTTTGTAGTCCCATCCAGTGGCCGTGGATCATGGGCGCCGACTACCTCCTTCCTCCATTCGGAACCGGGCACCCCCCCCCCCGTCGAACGTGACTGCTGGTAGAACTACCATGTTTGCCACCATGTAGAAACCACCATCCCCACTACTGTTTGAACCCCTATATACTATCATCTACTATGCCTAGTTGTACCCTGAAACACTTGTACAAGTATACCCCTATTTGTCTCCCCTATCCTCTCCTCGGCGTTCGACTCATCGCCGTTTGACCCCCTGAGGCACAGAGGTTTCGGCTTCGTGGAGTTCATGGAGCTCGACGACGCGCAGGTGACCGCGGCGACGGGGAGGTCCCGGGGCGGTGCGTGGCCGCGCGCGACCGCATTGACCCGGGTTTTTGGGGTCGTTGGTTGGTTTTTGGTTGTTCGGGTCCTTTCCTTTTGAGATCTTTTGAGAGGCTGTTCTTTTTTTGCATTTGTTTGAGCTGGTGCCTGTGTTCTTTGTTCTTTGTGGTGTTTGGTGGTGCATAGTGTATGTAGATTTCTGTGGTGAATTGATTGAAGTGGCATGAATGGGCGGTCTTTTAGGGGAGGGGTGGGTAAGTGGGTGGGTGGCAGTTCCAACATCTCAATTGAGCATGTCAAACTGTGGCAATTCGTAGATTTCCCAGATCGAGACCTTAAATTATTCACAGTGTCACAAGGCTCCCTATCCTGACAATCAGTCCACCAACCCTCTTCCTCTTTCCTCTTGCACTCGTGTCTCACCCGTGTCTCGCACTTGCAACCTCTCTCTCACCCAATTCCAACCATGTCTGAAGACGAGAACCGTCGCGTCCGAACCGTGAACCGTTCGGGCCCCAACCCTTCGGACTCGTCGTGTCGACGTGCCGCGACCGTCACCGGTTTCCTTCGATCGGATCAGCGCGGTGAGTTCCTCGAGTCGGGAGGATGCCATTGACAACATGCACCATGCGGAGCTCTATGGGCGAGTGCCCCTCGGATGCGGAGATGGAGAGAGAGAGAGAGCATCGGAGCATTGCGGATCGGAGCATGCATCGGAGCCGTGCGTGGCTGCGTGCGTGGGTATGACGTATGAAGCATCGCTGCGTGCGGAGATGAGAATCGATGAGACATATATGGCTCCGTCGGAGATGAGACATTCATGTCCTTATAGACCAGATGTAAACATGACAAAGCAGTGAAGAATATAAGTCTATATGTAGGAACCGAGCTACGCAGCATCACAGTGCCGCCCTGACGCCAAAAGAGGAGGTCCCGGACGGAAAAAAAAGGGATCAACAGTAGACAGTGATTGGGGACCTCCGACCTCAGCGACTTCGCGGGCTCAGGATCAAAGTGAATCTGGCCAGAGCCCCCCAAGAGCACTCCGACCACAGAGTCCAACAGGCCTTTGGGGACCCCGTCGAGCGGTGACCGTTTGCGCACCAGACGCACCGATGGAACGCCAGACGCTTCCAACGTTGGACCATGGGGCGAGGTTTATGGTCCGAGCGCGAGGTTTCATGATTGATCTCTCACGTCGAGACATTTGGTTACCGACAGACCTGAGCCTTGGGATGAACCTTGCTTTCATGCTGGTGTAGTAGATTCGAATGTTGTGGTCTGCAGCTCGATAGTTGGTGAGACTAGGACTAGGTCAGCCGTTGAAGTCACTGTCATTCTAGCACGGTACTGCTTCATTAAGTCAAGCTTTGTCAATGATGTCACTGTGTGTTACCCACAGATATCGCATAGCAACAACAGCCGAGTCGCCGAGTCCGGATGATGTGTTGTGGGGGTTGGACTGGAATTATGCGACAAGTAATAGTAAAACCGTGTAATGTAATTAAGACTAAAACCTAGGGCAGAAGACATGTAGATTCATCCTCACTTGGAAAGCAGGACGGATCACGACTCACTCATTGCTTGCCCTAGGACTATAAGATGTCAGAACCAGCTAACCCATATCAAACAGATCATATTCTCCAAAGCTCCCGTCAGTCTGTTGATTCCCAAGTCTGTTGCAAGCAGTTTGACCCAGATCGAGTGGCAAGCCGTTCGGCGTCAGAGACGGCAGAGCGACCTGGACAGGCCTATTTGGGCTGATGACTTCTTCTACCGGAAGAAGCTCAAGGAGTGATCCCAAACTCCCCTTTGCAAAGAACACATAGACTAGACCACACAAATTGCGGGTCCTGGGTTTCGTTTCTTGAAGCATCTTGAAGCCTCTTGAAGGCTTTGAAGATCAAAACCTAAGAAACCAATCAAACCTTCGTGTTGATTCGTTCATAGCCGAAGCATCAGCAAGATGCCCCCCCAAAAAGCATTTGCTTTTAGCTAGCTAGCCGCTAGCCGGCAGGGTTATAGCGGGCATCATCCAAGGTGTCCGAGTGTCAGACGGTGAACTGATGTGAACCGAGACATGTTTAGTTAAATGATGTTAAACGTCACAAACGCACTGCCAATATATACGTCCAAAATCTCATGCACATGAAAACACATTTAAAACACATGTCACACGTTTTTTCTCATGAG